TGCTGAGGCCATGCTAGCGAAGGAAATGATACATTTGAGATGGGTGTCTCTTCTGCTACCACCAGAGCAGACTTAACTGGAATACTTGCAGTGGGGGCTCTTGCAGTTGCATTCTAGTTGCAAGCACTTTCTGCTTCACACTATGCAAAGTAAAAGTTGTAGATGTAAGTTGTAGAAACATCTGCTTCCAAGTCAAACCATCCCTCTCAGATGGCTGTCCCGTGGCTTTTTAAATGCCTCTAATGTGGGAAAGACAACAATATCCCTTGGTAATTGGTTCTGTCGTTGTACTGCTCTAATGGTCAGGAAGTTCTTCCTGATATTCAGCCAGGACCTGGTTTCCTATAACCTGAGCCCATTAGTCCATGTCCTGCATTCTGTCATGATTGAGGAATGATCCTGGGCTTCCTCTGTGACAACCTTGCAAATACAGTTAGTTATCAATTTGTGTGATTAATGAAGTCCATGAAGTGATTGCATTATTCAAATTTGCACTATTTGGAGTTATAAATACATGTAAGATATGGTAATTGGTTCCAGCTTGATGGAAATAGACAGTGAATTTTTAAACATGTTTTATATGTTTATTAATGAAATATTACAGTAAACAATAAAAAGAATATAGTTATAATTTAGGAGCAAATACTGATAATGCCGTCTCCTTCCTGCTAACTAAACATGTCTCTAAAGGCAGTGGTACTGAAAGAAGGCCCTCTCTTGAAACTGTTACAATCCAGGTAGGCTGATGTGGGAGAAAATAGTCTTTCAGCCAGCCTAGTCCCAAGTTGTATAGGATAATTGTATAGGTTAAATAGTTATAACTAGCATTCTGAATTAGGCCTGGAAACTGTTCTTCTTTGTGGACATTGTGCATTACACATATGGACTCTGCAACTGCATGGAGACACGATTTGGAAAACTTCAGTTGCTGAGGAGTTTTGGAAGGAACCCTTCCATCATTATCTTAACATGCATGTTAACAGATTACTGCCTGTTCACTCCGTTCCTTTTTGACTGCCATTGTGGTACTGGTAAGCCTATGGGGAAACTTCTCTGCCCTTTCATACTGATCTAAGTTGAGCTTTGCTCTATCCTTAAAGGAAAGACAGGAAAACAATCTACAGGAACACAAAAAAGGGAAGGAGCACTTCTCTTTTCCTCCCTTTGTTGTAATTATAGGCAGCCATGGCATCTGTAGTCCCCCAGCACCACCCTCTGGAATCGGCTGGCCAGATAGGAGTGGAACCACCGCCACGCAGTGCCTCCTGCTCCCAAGTCAGCCAGCCTGTCCAGAAGGATACCATGATTGATGGTATCGAAAGCCGCTGAGAGGTCCAGGAGAACCAACAGGGACGCATTCTCCCTGTCCCTCTCCCTGCACAGGTCATCATACAGGGTGACCAAGGCAGATTCAGTATCATAACCGGATCTGAAGCCAGACTGAAATGGGTCCAGATAATCAGTTTCATCCAAGAGTGCCTGGAGTTGTTCCTCCACCACCCGCTCTAACACCTTGCCCAAAACCAGAATATTGGCCACCGATCTAAAGTTGGTGGGCACCTCTGGGTCCAGGGATGCCCTCTTCAGGACAGGCCAGATCACCGCCTCCTTCAAGGGGGCTGGGACCCAGCCCTCCCTCAGTGAGCCATTAATAACCTCCTGAACCCAGGGACCAATCCCATAACTGACCTCCTTAAGTAGCCAGGAAGGGCAAGGGTCAAGAAGACAGGTGGTAGGACGTACCATCCCAAGCACCTTGTCCACATCATCAGGCCGCAGTAACTGAAACTCATCCATTAAAGGTGGACCAGACGGAGCTCTGGACACTTCCTGTACTGGAGCAGTATCAACTGTGGAATCCAGATCATGGCGAATCTGAGTGATTTTTTCCTTAAAGTACTGGGCAAAGATTAGATGTTTGGCTTAGTTCTGCTGGACTGACAATGAGGCTTTTTCCTGAACTGACGTTCTACCTCTTGGTGGAACAGCCCTGCTCACTGTCAAGCTCAAAAAAGTGATGGCTTGTATCCAAAAGGGTAAGATTATAGTTAAAAGAATAGGCTTAGGCAAGGCAACACTGCAACCTCTGTACCAAAACTGCTACTAATTTCAATTAAGCCAATTCTCCCAAGAACAAGCTGCATCAAACCAGGAAGTGCCTGTACCTCTTCACATGCTTTTGCACAATTCTCAGAAGAGGGGCCTTGGGGGAAGAAGCAGCACCTTTGACGCTGCATGCCAGACCACCTGTCCCCCCCTCCCCCGAAAAATGGTGAAGAGTGAACACATAGAAACAGAGTGAGTCAGAAGGGGCCTCCTGGGCCACCTAGTCTGACCCCTGGCTCTAGCTGGCTCCACTCATGACATGTCTACCATGCCTACTATAGAACAAACTGGAGTTTCTTAGCATGTTTTCTAAAACACAAACTTACTATACCGAAATTCAACAGGGTTTGGAAAATATGGCAGACCATCCCACACAAGACACACCATGAGAGGTCATGTTGTGCACTAAACCTAACACTGAATTGAAATGCTTGGTAATTGACAATGGCAGTCCCTGGAATTCAGACAGATCCCCAGGGACAGGTTCTTCAGGACTCAGCAAGTCATAAAACCCTTCAACCAACCAAGAACATTTAAAGCCATCCACCACCTTCTCCAGATCTGAGAAGGAGAGAGCTATAGAACAAGTCTGAAGGAGGAATACACAAGCACCTATGGGCCAAAGAGTCAGTTAAAAAGGCCTTGATATCAAATAATAATCATGTATTAAGAGATGGCCTAATAGCATTTCAATTGATCCACTTATCCTACTGCACATTCCTCTAAGAATCTTCTAAACAGCACACTCCACCAGTCCATTTCTCCATCCTTCAGCTGTTGGGGGCGCCAGTGATGTCCGTCCAGAACCAGCTGCAATCCTAACTCTGCCATTTATTCCCTGACATGCTCTCTGACACTATATTTGTAAGACTCATGAAAGAGTGCTTTAATTCTCCTAAAAGAAAAGTTCAATGTATTAATATGAATTGGTAATATCTTCATTTTGTCTCTAATATTTAATCTGAGGAACTCAAAACGAGTATCTCTTTCCAAATTTGTCATCAACTTTCTGGCATCCAGTTCAGATTTCCTTCCCACATTAACTCTTCTCTTCTCTTTCCTTCTCTTCTCTGCTCCTTTGCACTTCCACCTTACACAGTTCTTCATATTTACAAGTAAACTAACAATTTGACACTACAGCTTAAAGCAGAAGAGTTAGGGGAGGAGCATCAAGAAAGAAGGGAAGGAAAAAAAAAAGATAAGCGGGGAGAAAGAAAAAGGACAAAAAATGAAAGTGGATAAAGCTAAAGCTAGTTATTCAGTTTTCTATCAATATTAGGACTGTTAGTCCCATTCTATCTCTATTAAAATACTAGTTTGAATTAGTTTTTTAGGAAGCAGCATTGCTCCAACTTTTATAGCAAGGGGCCTTAAGTGCCAATCTTCTCAGACTCCAATAGGTGGTGCTAATGGTCTTCTTCTCCTAGTGTTCCTTGTGTGTTCTTTGTTCTTTTGGATTATTTATTTGTTATTTTTAAGGTGGGCCAGAACCAGCAAAAACAAAAAACAAAACCCAAGTGCCATCAGGAAGATATAATTGTTCCTTCAAGCAAATCATGTATAATTTAGATCAAAAACTACAACAAAAAATCACTCAGCTCGAACAACCAGCATCTCCCTTAAAAATGGCAATGAAGGGTGAGAGAACCATCTCTTCCACACTGAGCTTCAGCCGAGGTCAATTTATAATGTCCAAAATTTTTGACTAAAAGCATCAGACAATTTACAACTGCAAAATTAAGTGGAAGAGTAGCCCTTTCAAAGTCCTTTCCAAGCAGAGAAACAGAAATGCCTTAAAATCTGAATTGCAGCCAAAATCTTAACCTGTTTGAAAAGCGCTGTTCTCCTTCTCAATTTAAAAGGTGCAATTAAGCATGAAAATTCTCACAACTGGTATTTTCATGCCAAGGTCAATTTACACTATTTGTAATTCTTAGTTCTAAAGTAGAGGCATTAAACAGCTTTCCAAATGAGACGCTGTGTATCTACAAAAGATTATCCATTTCAGAGTCCCTTCAAAATATGCAAACAAAAATGCTTTAAGAGTCCAAGCATTATCAAATTTGGTGTGCCATTCCCTTGGGAAAGAAAATGAGGTAATATAAAATATAATAAAGAATTAAAGGAAAAGGAGGGGGGGAAGAAAATGAGTAAATGGGGGGCACTTTAAAATTATTTTTCAAGTTTACCTTATCATGCCATCTCAATGTAATTGGAGCTGTCTTGATGCTCACCTGTTATTTAGAGAAGTAAACACCCCTCAGGGTGAATTACAATCTCCCAAACACGATAAGCCAGAAAGCAGCAGTTCACTGCTGTTTCATCAAGCTGCCATTCCCCAGAAGTCCATCTCCTTGCATTCTTATGACTCTGTGGTGATCCCAACAGGTGTGGTTTGCTCTCTTCCTTTGCCTCTCCATCTGCAAGTTTATCTGCCTCCCAATGAGACTGAACCTCATCTCCTGGGATCTCCTTCTACAGATCTCCCTATCTTTCTTCATAAACATTTCCAGATTCTTCACAGCTCTTATTTATTGCTTCACTGCCATATTTTGTTCTTTAAATCAGTCTTCTTCCTAGAATGAGGGCTATCAAAGATAATGTAGAAAAACGAAAACAAAACAGTTGATCAGAGCTCCAAAGAGGCACACTCCTGAAAGCCAGGTAGCAGGGAAGAGTGCAGGTACATCACCTGAAAGTGTGTTGAAAAAAATGAAATTCTCCGTCAAACACTTTTGCCCATTTTCAAGAATGCCCATCACAGAGGAAAAGGGAGGGCTTTTCTCAGGGGCAAAAATGTCTGTGAAATGTATCTATTTTGTTTTTAAGATTTAATATTCAACACTTTCATGTTAAGGTTACTGAATGTTTGTATTGTTTGTATTGTTTTCCAGGGGAAGGATACTACTGTGACTGGTCTGAAGATCACTAATAAAAATCTTCATATTCAAGATAAAAATGTAGAAGACATAGTTTTGACTCAGAAAGCAGAAATTAATACTGTGAAAAAACAACACAATATGGGACCACTTCGTCAAAAAATGCATGAACTTAATCATTTTCCTCAAAGCACACAATGTACTTAAAAGATAATGGACAACTTTAGAGACATGGATAAGATTTTGTGGGACTCGCCTGAGAATATGAGAAAACAGAACAATAGCATGGAGCTCCAAGTAAGTCTTCCCCTGACACCCTTCTCAGAGGCTGATAATATGCATAGCCCAAGCTTTGAAAGGCTGTGCTCAAAGGAGAGTTATCCAAGAAAATACCCCTCAATTGTTGGAGTTCCCTCTATTTCCTATTCTAGAGGCAACAAGGAACCAGCAGCCAGTCTTTTCCAGTCTTCAGCATTGTCAAGATCTAGTTTCTCAGTTATTGAGTTTAATGGTGTGCCACAAAATACTTCAGTCATTGATTATTTTGTAAACATAACCTTGGTTTATTGTTGAGTCATCAATCCTCAATAGTTTCCATGGAAACTAAATGATTGAAGAATAATAGGTACTGTGTCATAGTAGCCAGCTTTTATCATTTCATCAAGAACTCCAGTCTGTAAAGTTAAGGTAATTCTGAGATACAGTGTAATGACCTTTTAATAATTACTTATATGTAAATAGCGTTCCTGAAAGAAAAGAGATTACTTTTAAGCTCTTCAATTTAACTTTGGAAAAATCTAAGGAATATTGTACTTGAATGTAGGATCACTTTGTTCATGCATTAACATCTTCATAGGGAGTGGGGTGGTGATAGGCATGTGAGGTATAAAAGCAGCCCTGCTAGACCAAATCAAAGATTTATTTAATCTAGCATCTTGTTTCCCATAATGGCCAAACCAGATGGCATAAACAAGGATTAAAGCTTCCAAAACTCAGGCACATTCAGTAATGATCAGATTCTCAGATAGAGAACATGAAATAGATTTGCTCCCATCTTTGAGAGGTGAAAGGGCAGAGTGGTATTTGGAGAAAACACCACTGTGAAGAAAGTGCAGCTGCCCTCTACATCGTTTTTGCTGATGTAGAGAGTACTGAATGTTCAAATATGCCAAGAACAAAAGGAGTGACTTGGAAATCCAGACAGAGTGTAGTGACTGATGGGAAATTGTTTTCACACAGTCCTTTCCTTTCTCTGTGGTCGAACAGTTCCATATTGATTAAATAACTGAGCATCTGTCTAATGCAGTAACTTTCAGATTGGCAGTGTCTTCACTTCTTTGCCTACTATCCCTACAGCTTTCCTTTAAATTTCAAGATAATCAGGTGCCCTGAGTAGCAGTCAGGGTGTGGCTTTGTCCCTGGTTTTCACCTTGAATCAAGGCAACAGTAAGCTGGTTTCTCCTGTGAGTCTCTCAGACAATTCCAGGATGGGCTGTTCAAGTCTCGGTGTTATTGAAAAGTCCCTACTTCTGATTCTAGAAAAGAATCTTGCCTCCTGAAGTGCTAGGCAAAGTCTTCTTTGCCATCCTTCTTTTCAGTGGTTTTAAATAGATGGAATCAGAAGTACTTGGAGGTTCTGTGGAAGAACATGATGAAGCCTTATGTTATCCCCTCCTTCTCTTGGCTTTTCCTAAATGTTCTGTCAGAGCAATTCTACAGTGCAGGACTCCAGGCTAGATGCTTTGGAGCTGGTTTTTCTTCTTTGGGTATTTAGACCCGGAGTTGTAATGTCTCTAGTCCCTAAACATAGAAACAGAGTGAGAAGGGGTCTCCCGGGCCATCTAGTCTGACCCCTGGCTCTAGCCAGCTCTGCTTACAACATGCCTACCATGTGCATGTCTAGCTTATCCTTGAACAACCTCACCGATGGGGCCTCAACCACCTCTCATGGCAGCCCATTCCATACCCTCGGGGTCCTAATTGTTGGGAAGTACTTCCTGGCATCCAAATTGAACTTTGGTTCCCTGAGCTTCACTCTGTTGGAGTGCATCCTGCCTTGCTCTGCAGGGGAGAACAGGTCTCTACCCACCTCCGTGTGACACCCCTTCACATACATATATGTTACCAGCAGATCCCTTCAGTCTCCTCTTTTCCAGCTGAAATGACCCAGTTCCCTCAGTCTTGCCTCATACAGCTTTCCTTGCAAACCGGCCACCATCCTTGTGGCCCTACGCTGCACTGACTCTAACCTGGCTATATCCTTCCTGTAACGAGGGGCCCAAAACTGAACACAATACTCCAGTTGCAGGCGCACCAGAGTCATATAGAGTGGTAGTAATACCTCTCTCAATTTAGAAGCCACGCTTCTGGCTATGCAACCAAGGGTGGTGTTCACCCTCTTGACCACCGCAACACACTGCTGACTCATGTTTAACCTGCAGTCAACCAGCACCCCGAGATCCCTTTCACAAGTGTGGCTCTCCAGCCACTTGTCCCCCAACCTGTACTTATGACACCCATTCCTATGGCCCAAGTGCAAGACCTTGCACTTATCCACATTGAATGCCATCCTGTTGTCTCCTGCCCACTTCCATAGTCTGTCCAGATCCTTTCAATACAAGTAAACAAGAGTGAAAATAGAGGAGCCCCACATTCTGGACTAGATTTTAGAAGATCAGGTAGAAGAGAGTCTGGACCAGGAGCTTTACCAGATTTAAGTTTGACAATCAGACCAATAATTTCTCAAGGAATAACAGGCTGCCATTTTGGAAGAAAAGTTATTTGGCTCCTGAAGGGTTGCAGGAAAATGTCTTGCCCACTCATGATTAAAAATTCAACATGCAGTATGTTCTTGGCTTTTTTTTGGAGCCTAGACTAACAGTGGATCTGGCAATGGAGCTGGCAGAATTGAAGGGGATGTTGGATATATTTATCTCATGGATTGGGTCTTCAAATTGCAAATCACTAGGTACCTGCAGTACCTGCATTTTCTTTGGGATAAAAAACTGAGAGTCTGTGATGGGCCCAAAGTCATACAGTGTGCTTTGTGGCTTAGTGGGAACTCAAACCCAGATCTCCCAAACCCAGTCCAACATTCTAGCTGCCACACTGCACTGGTTCTGTGGAACTGAATGGTGTGACTAGGCACACTGGGTATCCTCACTGGAGTGGGTTCCCAGCCCAATTGCTCTTTACTTCTGTGGAAAAACTGAAGCAGCAGTTTGCATGATACCATTGAGCACTGTATCATGCTGGACTGCTAGGATAGGATTTGAATGCTGTTAGAGGATTCTTGTTCAGTGCTATGGCCTATGCTGTCTTCCCTTGGTATTAATTTACCCATCATGCTATATGAATGAAGCTTCTTCCAAAGATTGTTTAGAGTTTGGGGCTCCAGTGGCACTAGTATGTTCCCTGCCAACCCAATCCAAGTAAGTTCTAAATCACTGTCAGATGTTGATAAAGAAATAGATGTCACTGAACAAATTAAAGCTGAATCAAGGCAAAATAATTATATTCCTAGATTAGAAGAATTATCAGGTATTACAGGTAAAATTTATCAATTCAGTGTGCTGCTGGACCAGGATGCCCATATTTTGGTGGCCAGGAGTGTATCTGCATAGCTACAGACAGTGTGCCAACTGCACTCAGTCTTGTGGAGTTCGCGACTCATGTCAAAATTTTCATGAAATTTTTGTTCGCAACCTGATTTGGTCGTGAACTAAGGTGTTTGTGAGCCGAGGTACCATTGTACATGCTTCCAAAATAATTCAGGGTTATAAGGGCTCCATGAGAAGGACCTCTGCTGATGATCTCAGGGTTCATGTAGGCACATATGTAGGTGTTCCTTCAGAAAATCTGGCCCCAAACCATTTGAGGTTTTAAATGTTAATGTTAGTACTTTTAACTGGGTTTGATAATGGACTGAATGAGGGCCAATAAACTGAAACTCAGTCCGGGCAAGACAGAACTGCTGTTGGTTGATAATCTGTCTAACAGTTTAGATGAATACTGTCTATATTGGATGGGGATGCATTTGCCATAAAGATTAGGGTCCACATCTTGGGAGTGCTCCTGGACTCAAAACTTTCATTGGAGTCTTAGGTAGACTCGGCCAGGAGTGCCTTTTTCCAGCTGTGACAAATACAACTGCTACAACCTTGCCTGGATAGACAGAGCATGACCATGGTTATTCATGCACTGGTAACATCCCAACTGGATTACTGTAATGTGTTTTGTGTAGGGCTGGCTTTGAAGATTGTCGAGAGATCTCAACTCATACAAAATAGGACTGTGTGTTTGATGTTGCGTATCAGTTCTCATGACCACATGATGCCTGTTCTGTATAAATTACACTGGTTGCCAGTTGAAGCCCGGGCCCAATTGAAAGTGCCTGTTTGAGCATACAAAGCCTTAGACAGCTTGGGAGCGAGTTACTTTTCCATATTCTCCTACCCACCTGCTGAGATCTGAGAATAAGGTCCTTCTGAAAGAGCTATCCCTAAAGGAAGTAAAAGGGATGGCAATTAAAAGAAGGAACTTCTCAGTGACTGCCTGCCCCCATCTTTGGAATGGGCTTCCTTAAGGAGGTCCGCCTGGTACCATCACTACTTCATTTTGGCACCAGGCGAAAACTGTTCTCTTTTGCAGATATTTCAACATCGGATTTTTAACAACAGATTTGTAAGAACTCACTTCCCTCCTTCTTCCCCCTGTACTTAGCATTGTATTCTTGCCCTGTTTTTTTTAAATGTTGTTAGCCTCCTAAAGTGTCCTGTAGGGCTATTCAGCAGCCTCTAAATTTGAAAATAAATAAAATAGAGCCCTGTGGTACTCCATGGCATAATTGCCATGGCACAGAGCAGTAATTCTCCAACACTACATTCTGGAATCAGCCAGTCAGGTATAAGCAGAACCATTGTAAAACAGTGTCTCCAACTCCCAACCCTACCAGCATATCCAGAAGGATGCTATGATCGATTCCATGCACCCTTTCATCTATCAATTGTCTGAGGGTTTCCAGGCTTCTGTTCAGTTTTTTCCACATTTTAAAACATTTAAAGGCTTGGTTAGTGGTGGCAAGGGCTTTAAGCTAAAATACGTTGGTAAATTTTGACTTGGAACACCAATGGGTTATGGCCCTCTAGAAGCTTCCCCAAAACAAAATTTGGCCCTTGAGAGAAAAGTGACTTGAACACCCCAGTTTAGAACATTGTCTTTCTTTGAATTTATTAGTGTTTTCATTTGTTCTGATTTTGTTTCAATAATAACTGTATTTTATCTGTTCTTTATTACTGTCATTATCTTGAGCACTGTTTTATTGAAAAGGCAGATCCTAAATTTAATAAATGAACTAAATGTTTTTGGAGCAATTTTAAATTTGTATTGTACTTGCATATGTTCATTTTTGAATAGGTGAGAGATGCTGAAGGCTTCATTCTGATGTCACCTGAGTTGCAAGATGACTTAAAATCAACAATGTCCAGGCTTGAAAATGCATGTACTGAATATGGCAGCAGTAAGTTAATTTAGCCATATATCATTTACCTCAGTGATATTCTCCAATATGTCATGTGTTGGGTCATAACCTTGAATTATTTTGGAAGCATATATTAAGTTTGTACTAGTCAGCTGCATTTCCTTGTGGGTTCTGTGTATCATACATAAGTGCTTTGCAGCTGCACAAAAACTGTTGTCAGAAAGCTTCTACAGCTAAATTTTCGATTGGGTGGGAGCCCCTCCACTTCCTGTTCCAAGCAAGTGTGGGAGAGGTTCCCATTCATCCCCTCAGTTCCTTTTCAACTATCATCATGCCTAGATTGGGAAGCGCTTCTCTCTTCAGTTGAGTATGTGGCACTCCATTTACCCTCATCCTTTCTCTTCCTCAAGCGTCCTCACATTTTTCCCCTTCATGAACCCACTTCCCCCTTTATATTTAAACTCTTTTCCCCTCTTTCTGTCTCAGCTCTGCACATTCTGTCTCAGCTCCTACCAAGTTGCCTTTGCCTTTGTTCCTTTCCCACCTTCTCCATCTACCATGATGGCATCCTCAGCTGCATTTAGGAGCTGGACCTGCTGTCACAGCAGGCTCCCTCCCTCTCTCTGCCAGGGTGAGGGGCATGTCACGATGGCCAGGCCTTCACAAACCAAACCCAGAGACGCTGGGAAGACAGCCTGAAGGCCAAGTTTTGGAAGAAGACCCTTCAGGTTGCTGTCTCCACAAGATGTGCAGGGCAGGATAGCACTTCTACCTTGGTGACTAGGGAGTCCCCAGGAAGGCAACTAAACTCTCTAAAATGATGGCTACCACCACCATAGAAAAGTCCCTGTTAACCTTCAAACCTGAGGATGTCTTCAGCCTCACCCTCCAACCAATCACAATCCCCATCACTAACAAGAACTAGATCATGCCATATTGGTATCAGAAGAGGATCTCAGACAGTCCCACCAGATCCCCAACCTGCCCACTGTGCAAGGCATTGACACTGAAGTGATCAGCACACTCTTGGGAGCTGACCTGAGACCAGCTCAACATCAAGGTGATCCACCTACACACCACAGAGACCAGTGCCACTGCCCTCAGAGAACAGATTAACACCAAAGTGATCCATGCCTCACCAGCATCAACGCTGCAGGACACTAGGACAGATTCCACTCCTCCCTCATGGAATGGGACCAGGCCTCTAACTAGTCACTGTCCTCGCATTGTTCCCAAGAGAGCTCTGGAGCACTGCACAATGACGACTGGGGCTCTTTGAACCAGGATGACACCACGCCCCAATACCAAGATTCTCGATACTGAGGCAACAACACAGTGCCATTGACTCCGAAGAAGCCTCAGTACCAAGTTGACATCCATTACCAGCACCCTCAACACATCAAGATCCCTGAGAACACCACCCCCTTCATCTAGCCTGGAGGACTGTGTCTCACACCTGCAGTTGGTAGTATTGCTTGTCCCATCTGCCTCATCCCTGGACATAGCCATGGCATCACAGGACCTGTTGCCCCCACTAAATAGAGTGGTTGTGTTTGGGTCAGGATCTGAGGTAGCTTCAGGGCTCCATTTGCTGGCTAAGGACCAGCATAGCAGCCCAGGCAGTTGCAGGATTACTGCCCCAATCTACTGCAGCTGCCAGGCCTCTCATGAGCACCACCTGGGAGCCCTGGGGAAAGAGCTATGTAAGAGCTGGCTCTTCCTTCCGGAAGCTGCCTCAGCAACAAAGGTCTTAAGACTTGCTGCAGTGCTCTCTGTTTATTGTGCCTGGGACTTTTGGATCTTGCTCCTGTTCCTGGCCCCTGCTTGTGATCCTGCTTCTGGACCTCACCTTATTTCCTGGCCCCTGTTTGCTTGTACTCCTACTCCAGCCCTCAGGTACATGCTCCCGTCTGCGTTGCTTTCTTGGTTTCCCAATCTCTGGCTTGCTTGACCACATTTTTGCCTCTTGGACTGGACCTACTTTGTTCTTTTACTCCTGGCACTGATCTTGGACTGTTGGTAAAGATTTAGATTGGAATATAGCTGTTAATAAGTTGACCAGCGGGATTAGAGTGAAAAAAGGATTGATAAAAGATATAATGGGATTTGTTTATTGAATGTGTATTAATAAAAGGGAAGGGTATTAAACTTTCAGCTGATACAACACAATTTTGGGTGGAAGGGGGTATTCCTGAAAGAGTGGAAAGTTAGAACTAGAAGCAAGGAAGAAGAAAGAAATGAAGAAGAAATATAAAGTCATGGTCTTGGTGGAAGGTTGCACTAAGTGTTTTCTCTTAAATATGGAGAGAGGAGTTGGTTCTTGTGTTCCCTTCCTTTATTTTGTAATCTATTTTGCAATAGTATTTGGACGCAATAGTTTTTTATTAATTTTAAAAATACAAAAGGAAAAAAAGGAAAAAGGGGGGGGCAAGATGTCCTCTTCCAGCGCCCAACGCCCAACTTGATTATAGCCGAGTCTGTGCAAGGGACCTCACAGTGGGAGTACATAGCACCAGTGGTCCAGAACAGCTACTGCCTGGATGGGATGGTGAGGTGAGTCTATGTGGCCTCAGCACTTGATCTCTAGGTCTCTAATGATGAGTCTGCCATGTCCCGATATCAATTGTTCCTGTGGAACTAGATTGGTGCCATGCATAAACACCTGCCTGATGATTACAGGGACCTGACTTGGGTGAACCAGATGGAGGCCTCCAAGCTCACCTATGAGTGGGTCATCACAGCCAGGCAGCACATTGACTGCGATGCCAAGGCCATGCTCAGTGCCATGGCCATCTATTGATATACCTGCCTCCATGTTGCAGGACTTCTACAAGAGAACTCCTGATCCTGCACTGAGAACCTCCTCTTCGATACACAAGCAACACGAACTTGAGCTCATAGTACATGAGGGCAATTATGATCTTACAGGAATAACTGAAACTTGGTGGGATGACTCACGTGACTGGAACTCTACAATTGATGGATACAACCTGTACAAGAAAAATAGAAAGGACAAAAAGGTGGCGTTGCAGAGAGACATATATCTGCACAGAAATTCAAGAAGAGGAACTTGTTGTTGTTAGTCGTATCCGACCCATCGCAACCCCATGGACAACATTCCTCCAGGCCTTCCTGTCCTCCACCATCCCCCAGAGTCCACTTAAGCTCACACCAATTACTTCAGTGATTCCATCCAGCCACCTCATCCTCTGCCGTCCCCTTCTTCTTTTGCCATCTATTGTTCCCAGCATTAGACTCTTCTCCAGAGAGTCCTTCCTTCTCATAACGTGGCCAAAGTATTTGAGTTTCTTCTTCAGGATCTGGCCTTCTAAAGAGCAGTCAGGATTGATCTCCTCTAGGACTGACTGGTTTGATCGCCTTGCAGTCCGAGGGACTCGCAGGAGTCTCCTCCAGCACCACAATTAAAAGGCCTCAATCCTTTTGAGCGCAGCCTTCCTTATGGTCCAGCTTTCACAGCCATACATTGCAACTGGGAAAACCATAGCCTTGACTATATGCACTTTTGTTGGCAGGGTGATGTCTCTGCTTTTTAGTATGCTATCTAGATTTGCCATAGCTTTCCTCCCCAGGAGCAAGCATCTTTTAATTTCTTGGCTGCAGTTCCCATCTGCAGTAATCCTGGATCCCAGGAAAATAAAATCTGTCACTACCTCCATTTCTTCCCCATCTATTTGCCAGGAAGTGAGAGGACCAGATGCCATGATCTTAGTTTTCTTAATGTTGAGCTTCTAGCCAACTTTTGCGCTCTCCTCCTTCACCCGTATCAAGAGGCTCTTTAGTTCCTCTTCACTTTCTGCCATGAGAGTGGTATCATCTACATATCTGAGGCTGTTGATATTTCCCCCAGCAATCTTAATTCCAGCTGGTGATTCATCTAGCCCCGCCTTTCTCATGATGTGCTCTGCATATAAGTTAAATAGACAGGGTGACAGTATACAGCCTTGCCGAACTCCTTTCCTAATTTTGAACCAATCAGTGGTTCCGTACCCAGTTAACACTGTTGCTTCTTGACCCGCATATAGGTTTCTCAAGAGACAAATAAGATGGTCTGGTACTCCCATCTCTTTAAGAACTTGCCACAATTTGTTGTGATCCACGCAATCAAAGTCTTTAGCATAGTCAATGAAGCAGAAGTAGATGTTTTTCTGGAACTCCCTAGCTTTCTTCATGATCCAGCGTATGTTGTCAATTTGATTTCTAGTTCCTCTCCCTCTTCGAAATCCTGCCTATACTTCTGGTAGTTCTTGGTCCACATACTGCTGAAGCCTAGCTTGTCGGATTTTGAGCATAACTTTGCTAGCATGTGAAATGAATGCAATGGTGCGGTAGTTTGAACATTCTTTGGCATTGCCTTCTTTGGGATGGGAATGTAAACTGACCTTTCCAGTCCTGTGGCCACTGTTGAGTTTTCCAAATTTGCTGGCATATTGAGTGTAGCACTTTTACTGCATTGCATTTTAAGATTTTGAATAGCTCAGCTGGAATACTGTCACCTCCACTAGCTTTGTTGTTGCTCAGACTTCCTAAGGCCCATTTGACTTCACATTCCAGGATGTCTGGCTCGAGGTCGGTGACCACCCCATTGTGGTTATCAGGGACGTTAATCTCTTTCTTGTATACTTCTTCTGTGTAATCTTGCCACCTCTTCTCAATCTCTTCTGCCTCCGTTAGGTCCCTGCCATTTTGGTCCTTTATCATGCCCATCTTTTCATGAAATGTTCCCTTCATATCTCCAATTTTCTTGAAGAGATCTCTAGTCCTCCCTATTCTATTGTTTTCTTCTCTTTCTTTGCACTGTTCATTTAAGAAGGCATTCTTATCTCTTCTAGCTGTTCTCTGGAATTCTGCATTCAATTGTTTGTATCTTTCTCTTTCTCCCTTGCCTTTCGCTTCCCTTCTTTCCTCAGCTATTTGTAAAGGTTCCTCAGACAGCCATTTTGCTTTCTTGCATTTCTTTTTCTTTGGAATGGTTTTAGTTGCTCCCTCTTGTACAATGTTGCGAACCTCCGTCCATAGTTCTTCAGGCACTCTATCAGATCTAGTTCCTTAAATCTGTTTGTCACCTCTACTGTATATTCATCAGGGATATGATTTAGGTCATACCTGAGTGGCCTAGTGCCTTTCCCTACTTTCTTCAACTTAAGCCTAAATTTTGCAATGAGAAGCTCATGGTCTGAGCCACAGTCAGCTCCTGGTCTAGTTTTTACTGACTGTATAGAGCTTCTCGATCTTTGGCTGCAGAGCACAAAGTCAATCCGATTTCTGTGTTGACCGTCTGGTGATGTCCATGTGTAGAGTCGTCTCTTGGGTTGTTGGAAAAGAGTGTTTGTTATGACCATCATATTCTCTTGACAAAATTCTACCAGCCTGTGCCCTGCTTCATTTTGTACTCCAAGGCCAAACTTGCCTGTTATTCCGGTTATCTCTTGGCTTCCTACTTTAGCATTCCAATCCCCCATGATGATAAGGACATCATTTTTTGGAGTTAATTCTAGAAGGTGTTGTAGGCCTTCACAGAACTGGTCAACTTCAGCCTCTTCAGCACCAGTGGTTGGGGCATAGACTTGGACTACTGTGACGTTGAATGGTGGTTTGCCTTGGATTCGAACTGAGATCATTCTGTCATTTTGGAGATCGTATCCCAGTACAGCTTTTCCTACTCTTTTATTGACTATGAAGGCTACTCCATTTCTTCTGAGGGATTCTTGCCCGCAGTAGTATACCTGATGGTCATCTGAATTAAATTCACCCATTCCTGTCCATTGTAGTTCACTGATTCCTAAAATGTCAGTGTTCAGTCTTGTCATCTCTTTTTTGACCACATCCAGCTTGCCTTGATTCATGGATCTTATATTCCAGGTTCCTATGGAGTATAGATATTTGCAGCATTGTACTCTCCTTTCACCACCAGATACATTGGCAACTGAGTGTCCTTTCGGCTTTGACCCAGTCGCTTCATCCTTTCTGGCGCTACTAGTACTAGACCTCTGCTCTTCCCCAGTAACTTACTTACTTACTTACTTACTTATTAAAACATTTCTATGCTGCCCCTTGCTGAAGCCTCGGGGCGGCTTACAACACTTCCGACCTGAGGGCCTCATCTTCCGGCGTCATATCTTTTTGCCTTTTGGTACTGTCCATGGGGTTTTCATGGCAAAGATACTGCAGTGGGTTGCCATTTCCTTCTACAGTGAATCACGTTTTGTCAGAGCTCTCTGCTATGACCTGTCTGTCTTGGGTGACCCTGCACAGCATAGCTCATAGCTTCATTGAACTACGCAAGCCCCTTTGCCACGACAAGGCAGTGATCCATGAAGGAGAAGAGGAACTTAGTAGCCCCATTGAAAGCAACCGGCTAAATTTAAAGGTAGCAATAAGTAAGCAAAACATAGTTGCTGACATATATTACCATCCACGCAGTCAAAAAGAGGACAAAGATTTAGCCTTTGAAAAGCAACTTGCCAGCATTTCCAAGAAGAATGATGTAGTCATCATGGGGGACTTCAATTTCCCCAATATATGCTGGGAGACGAATTCAGCCAAGCATGACCCCTCCAAGAGATTCCTGACTTGGGTTGCTGACAACTTTCCCCAGCAGAAAGTAGAGGAAGGTATGCAGCTATCCTCGAATTAATACTAACAGGGATGGGCTGCTGGACAAAATAACAACTATGGGAATTCTGGGGGAAAGTGACCATGTAATACTTGAATTCTCAATTATGAAGGAGACTAAGGGTAGCTGGAGCCTAACTAGCATCCTGGACTTCACGAAAGCCAACTTTAACAAACTCAGAAAAATAGTAAGCGAGTGCCATGGCAACACACCCTTAAGGAGAAAGGTGTCCAAGAAGATTGAATCTTGAAAAAGAAGCTTCATGAAGCACAACTACGAGCAATTCCATCAAGAAAAAAGTGTAGAAGACAGCAGAGGAAGCCCATGTGGCTCCACAAAAGGTTAAGTGACAGCCTGAAAGAAAAAAGAAGAACCCGTACAAGAAGTGGAAACAGGGCCAGGCCACGAAAGAAGAATATAAACAAATAGCAAGGAAGGCTAAAGCAGGAAATGAACTGAGAATAGCAAGGGAAGCTAAGCACAAGAAAGCCTTCTCCAGATACATCCAGAACAAAAGACATGAGAAAGAGAAGGGTTTCCAGCTACTTAAAGTCGAAGGCAGAGTTATGACTGAAGACAAAGGAAAGGCAGAGGCACTCAATTCCTACTTCGCCTCAGTCTTCTCCCACAAGGAAATCTGCAATCAAGAGGAAGTTCAAGCTGGAAGTGAGAGATGGCAGCTCCAGATTGATAGACAAATGATCAAGGAATTCCTGGATGGAATAAACACTTGCAATTCTCCAGGGCTGATGAGCTCCATCCCAGACTCATAAAAGAGCTAGTGGAGAAACTCTCAGAGCCACTGGCTATTATCTTTGAAAAATCTTGGAAAGAAGGAAAAGTTCAAAATGACTGGTGAAGGGCTGGTATTGTCCCCCATCTTTTCCACCATCAGGATACACTGATTTTCTGTATTGCAGAATAACTTGTATCCCTCGTGATACTGTAAACTTAATGGGTTATCATGGGTTAATGAATTACCAAATCCTTGCAAATGTCTAAAACTATGTACAGTAAGCTAGATAAAGGATCCCCAAGCAATGGTCCTCATTACTACCTCCAAAGCACGAATTCCTGATCCATTTCTCATATAGAAATGATTTTGCCTCATTAGGTTATAGAAAATCATCTTATCACATATAGACAACTCCCATCTGTAACACCTCATATTTTACCTTTTCTTTGGAAGATTTATACTTCTCATCCCTATTTTCAACGTTTTGCTATTTTCAGTACGACACACTGTATCATGCGGTAGTCTCACACATAGCTAAATGTAAAAGCAACAAACCAGTGACACATTGTACACACTGCTAGTCCTTTGATAAGGACTTGGCCACTTGCTCAGACCAAGTGAAATTCAACTGATGAAGCTAATGCTGGTCCATTTCGCTTAAGTAGGTGTTGCTCTCTGGAAGCATTCTTGGTTCCCTGTGCATAGAACATATTTGTCATTTTGTTTTTCAGACACTAGTTCAGATTTAGTACTTCAGCTTAACTGGAAGAAGCCAGAAACGACAATATACCAAGATGGCAATGTGATGGCTTACCTGCAGCATTCTGGAATATTTCCAGATGTCACTGAACCAGGAATGAAAGAAAAAGACTTTTTTTCACAACAGTTGAAGGTAAAAGTCAGGTAGAAAATTCCTTGAATCCCTTGTCACATATATCCCATGCTTTTAAATTGAGATAACAGTGTTTAAAATATACAGTACAGGGTCTTCTGTTTACAGAGATTGTTTTTCATCTGTTCTGTTCTCTTTTTAAGTGTAAAGAAAGCCCAGAGAGAAAATTTGCTATAGCTGTAACACAGTCTGGGCATGTGCACCTGAACTGCTAGAATATTTGTTCCCAGTTTGCTCATGCGATAGACATGCTTCAGGGAAAGTTAGTTTGCTTCACTGATCCAGAGATCCATGCAGATTTTTAAAAGGATTTTTAAAGGATTTTTTCCCAACCAAGGCCCTTGCAAAAGGTTATTTTCCCCATACACATAGTGGCCAAATTTAGCATATTTTATCTGAAAAGCTGAGAATTGCTTATTCAGTTCACACATCAAACTTCAGCCTGTTCAAAATAGCACTCCACTTCTGCATTTTCAAGTTTGAATCCTTTGAAAGTCAGAGCCTCATCAAGCAAACATAGGCTTTAATGCCATCTTATTTTTGCTTTATACTTATTCTAGCCACTGTCCAGGTCCAACTCCACACTATTAGAATCTTTACAAATGTTTTCTGTGTGCTGATTTGGAATGTGCATATATTAGACACCATTAATAAACACCTTTCTGTTACCTTTTGTTTTTTAACATGGAGGTTGTTTTTTCTAACCATGCACTAGATATTTGCTGGCTGAGCAATCAGAAGCTCCTTTCCCCTTTCCCTGCCCTCTCCACTTCTACTGAATTGACAATTCAGCATACATACAGGGATCTCATTTAGGGTTTTTGATTTTATTTCTGACTTCCGATCTAAACTGATAGTCCAGTGGTGAAGGTGGGAAAGCCAGAACTCAAACCAGATGTGGTCAAATGTGTCTCTTTATTAAGAAAATTAAGGTGTTTTTTTTAAACAAATACATAAAAAGAATGTGGGGCAATACAAGCTAAAATAAACAGAGCAATCTAAAATGAACAAAGTTGCCAATGCAACCTATACACTCAATCTCCCAAATCAACCTATGCATTTAATAAATGCAACCTATATATTCAATCTCCCAAATCTGTCTTTCCTATCTTTTAACAGTCTATGAGAATTTAACAGAAAAGGAATAATTAATCTGTACAACAACAAATCTTCTGATTGCTTCAAATCCCCTACTGCTTTTCTTTTTCCTTCCCAAACGTCTCTCAACTCCCATTAGTCATGCTGAGCGCAATAAAATTTTCATTTATCATTAAATTCTTCTAATGGTCTTCTGTTTACATAGTTAGTTAACTTTGCCAGCACAGCATATCCTGCTAGTATTTCTCCATTCTTCAATTGTTGGGGCTCCGATGATTTCCATTTAGAAGAAATTGCGATTCTTGCTGCAGTTGTCATATACTTACTTACATAAGTAAATAACTCTGATATATTTTTGAAAGGCCCTCTGACACTATATTATTAGAACATTTCTATGCCGCCCCTTGCCGAAGCCTCGGGGCGGCTTACAACACAATAAAATACAATACAAAAATAACAATATAAAATTAAAATTAATAATATAAAATAAATAAGAAATATAAACGATATAAAAGAAGTTATAAAAGTTAGAAAAGAAACGGAGTCGCCCTGGCCAGATAAATAAGTAAATATTGTTAACAATTAAAATGACGTTTAAATAAAAAGGTCTTCACCTGGCGCCGAAAAACAAATAACGACGGCGCCAGGCGGACCTCTCTGGGGAGCATATTCCATAGATTGGGCGCCACCAAAGAGAAAGCCCTCCTCCGAGTACCTACCCTCCTAATTTCTTTCACGGAGGGTTCCCAGAGAAGGGCCTCTCCCGCAGATCTCAAGGGGCGGGCGGGCATATATGGATGTAAGCGCTCCTTCTATTCAAAAGCATATTCTTGGGACTCATGGGAAACTTAATTTTTTCCGCATTTCTTTTCATTTTTGTTGTTGTTATTTCACAAGTCCACCACATATGATACAAAGTGCCATCCAATTTGTTACCTTTCCAGCATTTTCTATTGTAATTCTTATCTATTTTTTTCAATATCTTTTGGATAATAGTATAATTTATAGTTATACTACTATGCAGCTTGCCTGGTCTATATTGCAGATTGGACCCAAGGAACAGGAAATAAATTTGAAGCCCACAAGCATATCAACCAGCTGGAAATGCTTGAGGTGAAGAAAGCGCTCATCATATTCCAGATATATTTTTCACCAGCCATCATGTCCACATTGTCATGAACAACACCATAGTGGTTTTCTGAATAAACAAGCAAGGTGGCACCTAGTTGATTCCGCTGAAACATCTGGCAGTTTGTATATGGAACTGATGCATCCACAGACTTATTACCATTGACTGGCATTTGTGTTGCTGGAACCAGCAATACTCTGCCATGCCAAGTAGCAGGTACCCATGAATAGCAGCTGAACTCCAAAGCCTTGCAGAGGGGATCTTCATCCAGAGATCTGTTTGCCACCTGGAGCTATGTTGTATACAGCAGCTTCTGCTCTTGGTTAGGACAGGGCAGGCGTTCTCTGGAAGATGCCTTCCTGCAAGTTGAATGGGGACTTTTTTCTACCTTTTTGTTCCCTTTCCTCTGATGCCAAGAGTGTAGGCAAAAGTTTGTTGGGATGCTACAAACTGCATCCCTATAATATCTTGGTGGCTCAGAACCCTGGTTTGGCTACCTTCACAGGATGTCAGTCTGAACTGTCAAATCTGGACCTGACTTCTCAGGATCGAAGGAGGGCTTTGCACCCAGATGTCCTTAACAGCACAGAGGGTCTGACTGTAGAACATGGAAGTTAGAAATACAGAAATAGAGTGAGTCAGAAGGGGCCTCCCGGGGCATCTATTCTGATCCCCGGCTCCAGCGGGCTCCGCTCACGACATGCCTAACTTGTGCATGTCCTAATTCTACTCTTCCTGAAGAGCTTATGGTCATTTCCTTCCTTTTCTCTTTAGTTCCCACTACCCATGCATTTTCTTCTTGTAACACACTTCCATTTACTGGTAGGACTGTGCTGTTATTCTTTAGTGTAGCCAGGAGAAAGCACTGGTTGTTACAACAGCCCCAGCAGGATAGAATCAAAAAGGTAGCAGAAAGATAAAGACTTGTCAGTGGTGGCAATCCACAAAGTCTGTGCTAGGTTTGTGTTCTTGTCTGAGGTCAACATGACTTATATGTGCAGCAAGTACAAGCTAATAGTCCTGATGGAAGAAAAGGTTAGAGCAGTGATTGTCCACCCTCAAGGTAATAGAAAATGGTGAAGAGTTTTTAGACAGAGTGGTGGAATTGCAGCAGTTAAGAGTTGTACAGAAGCTAGAAGTGCAACGGCAAGCTGAAGCAGAAGAAGAGAATCCTTAGGTAAGGGAAAATGCAGAGGAAACTCTCTGGAACAGGGTAACAGGATCAGAATGAAAACTAGAAGACTCTGCACCAGTGGAAGCAACTGGAACTGTTTTCAGTTACTTGAGGATGAGACCAGAGGACAGCCTGCGGTGAAAGAACTACAAGCCATCCCATGCCACACTGAACAAGAGGCTAAAGGACAGCCAAGTAGTGGCAATGATACCAAGGCTTGCAAGAAGAAGAAGAGTGTTAATTGTAGGAGACTTCCTGTTGCATGGGATGATAACACATGTATGACAGGAAGACATGTGGACTCACCAGATATGCTGTCTCCCTTCTTAGTGATATAACAGAAAGATTGTCAAAGCTCATAAAACCCACTGACACACATCCCTTCTTATACAATTGAGAACAAATGGCACTGCCAAACAGAGCTTTGAAGAAACCACATTAAGCTCTGAAGCTTTAGGGAGGAAAGTCAAGAACTTTGGGGCCCATATAGTTTTCTCTGATGACCTTCCAGTTCTTGGAAAGAGTAATAGACAATGAAATAAAAATACTCCAGGTGAAAGCCTGGCTACAGAGTTAGTGCTGAAGTGAGAAATATGGATTCTGGAACTTCCTGGAAGATGACCTCTTGGCAAGGGATAGGTTGCACCTTGCAAGGACTGGAAATAAGGTGTTTGATCATAGCATGAAGAAAGGTATCAAGAGAGCTTTCAACTGAATCCTACAGGAAAAGGAGAAATACACCTGGATGGAATAACAGATAAAGGCTTATGCTCCACAACAGAGGGAGCAGCTCTGCCCAGTAATAGTCTTCCAAAAATATAGGAAGAAAGCCAGAATATAAAACATGACTATATACTAATAGCCAGAGTATGGGAAACAAACAGCATGAACTCTTAATACAGGAGAGTGAATAAGGTAATAGGTATAACTGAAATTTAGTGGGATGACTCCAATGTCTAGAATGCAACAACTGAAGGATATCACTTGTTCAAGAACAAAAGGAACAGAAGGAGAGGTGAAGTCACGCTATATGCTAAAGATACATATCTCTGAACAGAAATACAGGAGGATGAGCTTAGTAGCACCATCAGTAGCATCTGGATTAATATGAATGGAGCAAGGAATAAAAGGGACACAGTGGTTGGCATCTGTTATCAACCACCCAGTGGGGGAGAAGATGATGAAACTTTTGAAAAGCAAACTGCCAGTGTTTTGAGGAGGCATGATGTTGTCAATAGGAAAGACTTCACTTTCCCCGTTATCTGTTGGGAGACCAATGCTGCTGAACACGTCCCCTCCAAGAAATGCCTAATATGTGTTGTCGATAACTTCATCCTACAGAAAGTAGAGGAAGGAACAAGAGGAACGGCTATCCTTGACTTGATACTAACCAACAGAAAAGAAGTGGTAGCTATGGGTACTCAAGGGGAAATGACCATGCCATACTTGAATCCTTGATTCTAAAGGAAGCAAAAGTCAAGCATAAACCCTGGCTTTTAGGATAGCCAATTTTAATAAACTTAGAACAATGATAAAGTCCCATGGCAAATTCCTAGGGTAGAAATTTTTTAAAAAGGAAATTCTACTGATAAAGTTTTAGACAATGGACCTTTTTATAGAAAACCTTTCAATATTTACATTGTGGTCCATGAACTGGGTACGTGCAATTTATACAAAACAGCAGACAAAAATTTAATAAATGGAGTATTAAATGATGGTTTTCAAATGGAAAAAAGAACACACCAAGGATGTCCATTATCACCACTTTTATTCAGTGTTAGATTGGAAGTCTTAGCTACAAAAACATGACAAGACCCAAAAATTAAAGGCTTGAAAGCAGATGGAGAAGAAATGAAAAGTTATGCTGACAATATAGTATTGATGATTTTAAACCCTCACTTACCTTGCCAAATATAATAGACCAAATTTTAAAAATGGCTCTTTTTCTGGCTTAAAATCAACAAGAAGGAAATGAAAATTATTTCAAAATGTTTAATTACACAAAAACAGGAAAACATTTTTAAAGTTTCAGAATGTGAAATAACTTCTAACCCAGTTAAATATTTGGGAATAAATGTGACTGAACAAAATAATACATTATTTCAAGGCAATTATAAAATAATGTGGACAAAGATTTAAAAAGATATACAGGGATGGACTAAACTAAAAATGTCATGACTGGGAAGAATTTCTATTATGTCCTACCTAAATTGAAATTTCTATTTCACAAGATACTAAGTTTTCCAAGGAAAAATACCACAAGTATGGCGAAGACAATTGCATACCTTTTTTTGGAATAGGGAAAAAACAAAGATTAAATTAAAGTTTTATAAGATAAAAAGAAAAAGAAAGAGGAGACCTAACAGTACCTAATATCAAAATTACACTACTACACAGCCAGTGCAGTTTGGATTAAAAATCCAGAAAAGGATTAATAAAATTGGAAACAGCAGACTTGGAAGCAGGACTACACATTCGTGGGCTAAGGAATAAATCTTTTTTAGATTTAACACAAGACAAAAACCATGTAATCAGAGACGGTTTAATAAGAATTCGACATTCTATGAGAAAAAGAAATAGTTCTCCAATTTCCCCCTCTGATGTCTTCAATAGAAGCATGCTGTGATAAGCATCTAAGGAAAAGCAATGATTTTATAACATATGGAGATATGATTGATCAACAAGGACAAATTAAGCCTGGGAAAAACTAAAAGATGAAGAAAAAAGAATGGCTTCTTTATTTTCAGTTTCAAGACTGAAAAGGGAAAGTCAGACAGTAAGAGGTGCCATAAGAAACCTAACAGAATTTGAAGAATTGATTTTGCAGCAAAAATTACGTATTAGGATGGCTTTACAAGCAATTACTACAATATGATACTGAAACTGAACAAGTTCAAATATGTATGATAAGATGGATGGAGAAATTTGAGGAAGAAATACCCTTCTTTCAGTGGGAAACCTTATGGACAAAAATACAAACTTGACAAGAAGTCAAGCACTAAGAAAATCGGTACAAAATGTTATTTCGTTGGTATATTACTCCAAAAGATATTGAGAAAATGGATAAGAGATATAATGGAAAATGCTGGAAATGCAAGGAACTGGTGGTCTGGACTTTTTACCATATGTGGTAGACTTTCAGTAAGGCCAAAAATTTTTAGAAAGCAATACATGCTGAAATACAGAGAATTTTGAAAATTAACTTTCCTATGAATGGTAAGAATATGCTATTGACTATTCTGCCAGAAACTCTTCCAAGAAATATGTAAGAATTATCTAAATATATGATAACAGTATCTAGAGTTATATTTCCAACAAAATGGAAAGCAGAAAACTGCCCAACTGGTGAAGATTGGAAAAATAAATTAGTGGAATATGCAGTAATAGCAAATAATTAAGACTTTATAAATAGAAGACCAGCAAAAAAATCAATGATAAATGGAAAGCTTACTATATGTATTTTTTTAACAACTGAGAGAGGAAAAAATGAAATTTATGTAAGAATGACCTAGTTGATACATTTACTAGTCAGCAATATATAGAAGACCAGTTAAAGGATTTTATGTTAAATGGAAAATGTATTATATAGCCTTTAATTAGCAATTGAGAGTGTATACAGTGATCAAATTTATATAATTGTTTTATGAATTTAACTTTTTTATTATGATACTGTTTTATCTGGAGAAAAAAGGGAAAATCAATTATCAGTTGCTGGTGCATTTGTGGATATGTTATAAAATGAACTATTATTTACTTGAAACCCTTGCCTTTTTTGTAATAACCAATTAACAAGTTAAAATAGTCATTATAAAATTGATAGTAGTAATAAAAACTATTGACTTTTTGTGTAATTTCCCACATTTAGCACTATATGTAATTTTTGTGTAAAATCCCTTGGTATCTTTTTATCTCTTTTTCATGTTACATTTTCTTTCTTTTTTTTCTTTATATAAATAAAAGACATTCTAAAGGCACTATTACAGCCAATTCCAACAAGAATAAATGTAGGAGACAACAGAAGAAGTCCATATGGCTTTACCAAAAGCTTAGAGATGATCTGAAAGAAGGGCATGTATAAGAAGTAGTAGCAAGACCAGGCTACAAAGGCAGAATACAGGCAGGTAGTATGGAATTTCAGGGATTGCCTCAGAAGGCTAAAGCTAGGAATGAACTGGGGCTAATGAGGGATGCTAAAAGCAACAAAAAGCCTTCTTCAGCTATGTGCATAGTAAACAGAGTCAGAGGAAAGGCAGAAGAAAGAAATGGGGGTTCCGTTACTCAGTGCAGATGGCAAAATGATAATAAATGACAAAAGTGCTTATTTCCTAATTTGGCTCAGGAAGTACAACCTGAAGAGCAAGATGGCAGCTCAAAATTGATAGGCAAATGATCAAGGATCATCTAATTGGGATGAATGAGTTTAAATCTCCAGGGCCCAGTGAACTCCATCCTAAAGTCATAAAGGAGCTGACAGAAGAACTCTCAGAACCGCTTTCTCTTACTTTTGAGAAATCATGGAGGACAGGGGCAGTGCCAGATGACTGGAGAAAGGCTAATGTTGTCCCTGTCTTCAAGAAAGGAGAAAAGGATAAACCTGAGAACTACAGACCAATCAGCGTGGCATCAATCCCTAGGAAAATTTTGGAGCATATTATCAAGCAGTCAGTCTGCAACACCTTAAAAACAATGCAGTGATTATTAGAAGCCATCATCGATTTCTCAGGAACAAATCCTGCTGGACTAATCTGATTTCATTTTTTGATTGAGTAACCTGTGGACTGTGGGAATGCTGTGGATATAATCTATTGTGACTTCAGCAAAGCTTTTGACTAAGTGCCCAATGATCTTCTGATTACCAGACTAGCTAAAAGTGGGTTAGATAGAACAACAATCAGGTGGATCCACAGTTGACTACACAGTTGAAATTCATTAGGGACAAATGCCAAGTTCTGTACCTAGGAAAAAGAAACCAAATCCATTGTTACAAGATGAGGACTACTTAGCTCAACAATACTGCAAATGAGAAGGCTCTTGGAATTGTTGTAGATCAACTGAATATGAGCCAACAATGCCATGCAGCTACCAAAAGGGCAAACGCTAGTTTAGGCTGCACTGACAGAAATATCACTTCCAAATCCCATGAAGTACTAGTTCCCTATACTTAGCAGTGGATAGGCCTCATCTGGAGTAACATCACAGTTTAATAAAGATGCAGATAAGCTGGAAAGGGGTTCAGGAGAGGATGACAAGGATGATCCAGGGAGTGGAAAGAAAGCCCTACCATCAGAGATTGAAAGAACTGAGTATGTTTAGCCTCAAGAAGGGAACAGTGAGAGGGGAGATACGCTGGAACTCTATCAGTAACTAAAAGATTGCTGCAAAGAGGAAGGACAGGGTGTCTTCTCAGACATCACAGAATAGACAGACTCCAGTTAGAGGAAGACAGATTCCATCTAGGTGTTAGGGAAAATGTCCTGACTGTTAGAGCAGTAGAACAGTGGAACCATTTACCTAAGGAGGTTGTGAGTGCCTCCAGACTAGAGGCATTCAAGATGGAACTGGGCAGCCATCTGAAACAGACAGCTCGATTTGGAGTCCTGCATGGAGCAGGGGGGTGGTTCTGATGGCCGTCTGGCCTCTCTCAAGTCTATTCTATGATTCTGTGTCTTGATGAATCTGTACTTCTATCATCAGATAACCTGCTTTGCTCCTTTTTCAGAATGTGCTGAGCATGGTTTATGAAGAGAGTTACAAAATACTGGTTTTGTCAGAAAAACCTCTGCCTATTGAGAATGATAAAAATGTGCAACAAGCTCCCTCAGAGGTGAAATGGCAAAGAGAAAAACAAACCTTACTTGATATAGTACAATCACTAAAGGATTACCTCAACAAAATATCGCATAAAGAAAAACAGGTAAATACAAGTATATTTTCATTTAGTTTAAAACTACTTATCATTACTACTACATCAAGGTTTCCAAAATGTCAAGCTTTCTGACTTACAGACAGTGGCAAAAGAAGATGCTATAGAGAGGATAGGGGCCACTGAAACTGCTTGATTCACATGTAGTGCCTCAAACACACAGGTTTAGGGAAACAGCAGCAGTAGTTTCAATCCTGATTACAGGTCAGACCAGGAAATGGAACTGCTACTGTTCCTTGCTAGGGGACACCTCCTTTTATTGTTTCTAGCCTAGATGCTTTCTAAGACTGCATATAAAGGCATGCTGGCCTGTTTGTTAGCTTGGCCATAGTGTGGGTTGGGGGTGCCAAAGTATCCTTATTTGAATGCAGCAAATTTGTACTAATGCAACTAATGGAGTTTAAGGTGGTTTTTTTTTGTCCCCCTTTTTATTTATTTTTTTAAATACAGAAAAAAACATAAATACAGGCACATCACAGTATCAATACTATAACCTACAAGAGCCCAACTAATAAATGAAAAAGTGAATAATACAGTGCCCCCACCACCCAGGAGACCAATAATGCCTCTACTTTAATTCATACATTATAACAATAATATATAATATACTTCAATTTTGTCCATATCCCCTCCAAAAATTCATATAATCTTGATTAGGTTTACAACCTTTATTGTCATCAGTACTGCTTTTACAAAATCTTCCCAATTTCATTATATTAATTTGCTTTTATTAACCCTTTTTAAATTTTTTTTGTTGTCACTTTATCATTAATTACCATATTCCATATTTCATTATGCCATTCGTGCCTTTGCATAACCCAGTTCTGTTTCCAATATTTAAGTATCACTAACCTAGCTGCCACGATCAAACTTGGGATCAATTCTTTATATCTTGTTTTTCATTCAACAGCAGTAACACAATTCTCGGTGACATTTCTAAATCTATATCTAAAATTTCTCTAATTTCATCAAACACCATAATCCAAATCTTTTGTATATTGTCACTGTCCCACCACATATGTTTGTAAGTTCCAATCCCTTTCCCACATCTCCAAAACATATTAGAGTATTTATCATCAATTTGATTTAACTTAACTGGTGTTAAATACCATCTCCAAATCACTTTATATCCATGTTCTTTAATTCTAACCAACATATTCTTGTATACTCTTCTACTTCAAATATTCTTCCAATTCTTTTCTTTTATTTCACCTACATCCATTTCCCAAATTGATTTTAAACTTTTTGTCTGATCCCCTAACTCTATTAATATCCTATAAATTTTAGTAATTCTTCCTTTGCTTGTATGTTCTTCCTCAATCTCACATTCTTTTATATTCATTGCAAATTTTGTTAATTGTCTTTCTTCCTCTTTAAATTTATCTTCCATCTTTATCCTTTTTTTTCTAATTGAATTAAATTTAACCAGTTTAATTTGGCTTCTGCGAATGTACTCCTTAATTGTGTTATATTTTTAATCTTATTTTTCCAGTCTTCCCATTTATATATATGATTATTTTTTAATTTAGTAATCCAATCCTTCAATTCTATTTTTGGAAATTTTTCTGTTTCGACCATTGGTGTTAACAGTGAAATTCCTGGGATTAACTGTTGTCTCCATTTTTTCCATACTTCCACTGTATTTTTTAAAAAGGGGTTTTGAATTCTCTTAATAATCTTTTTAATATCCTTCTTAAACCAGTATATCTCTAAGTGATCACCTATTTCCCTTAATTCTTTTAATTCAATATCACTCCATATTAGTTCTTTGCTTTGGGCTATAATATCTGGAACCATCTTTAATTGGTTTGCAACCCAGTACTTTATAACATTCGGAATGCCCAGCCCTCCTTTTTTTGTGATTCATACCATACTGCTTTACTTATTCTTGCTCTCTTCCCTCTAGTGCAATAAACCTCCAATAATTTCTGTATTTCCTTTAATTCTTGATCATAAAAGCTGATTGGGATCATCTAAAACAAAAAATTAATCTTTGGCAGAATTTTCATTTTTATTACTACTATTCTTCTAAATCATTATAATTTTACCTTTTCATATTTTCCTATTTTATCTTTTATAGCCTTCTTTAACTTTTCATAATTTTTCTTCTTTAATTCTTGACTATCTTTTGGAATATCAATTCCTAAATATCTAATATTGTCTGTTTTTAATTTATATTTTTCTTTTAATATATCCACTTCTTCACTATTATGATTATATAATATCATTTCAGATTTTTCCCAGTTAACTTGCAGCCTACTATACTTCCCAAATTCCTTTAAATGTAAATATATTCTTTATAGTATTTATTGGATCTTGAAATGTTAACAATATATCATCTGCAAATAATTTTAATTTTCTGACATACTCTAATTGCTTCTATCTGTATATCATTTCTAACTGCATTTGCCAATACTTCCATCATTAAAGCAAATAATATTGGGGATAAGGGACAACCCTGTCTCATCCCTCGGCTTAGGGTTATTGTTTCTGTAATACCATCATTTACAATTATTTTTGCCATATTTTCTGAATATAATTGATTTATTACTTTCTTAAACTTTATCCCAAAGCCCATCTTCTCTGTTAAGACCTTCTTTGTTGGCCATTTCACACAGTCAAAGGCTTTAAATATATCTAATGCTAGTATACTTGCCTTTATATTTTGCTACTCAATATAGTAGTTAATATTTAATACTCTCCTTACTACATCTGACATTTGTCGACCTCTTATAAACCCACACTGATCATTCTTTATATAATTATCTATAAATTTATTCAATCTATTTACTAATATTGTTGTAAAAATCAGCATCTTGATTAATAAGAGGTATTGGTGTGTAAGATCCAGGGTTTGTAAGGGCTTTATTAGGTTTTGCTATCAGTACTATCATGGATTGTTTCCAAGAGCTTGGAATTGTTTCCCCTTCCATTATTTTAGTAAATACTGTTTTCATCTTAGGGACTAGTAATTTTTTGAATTTTTTATAATATTCAACACCCAATCCATCAGATCCTGGTGCTTTACCTATTTTTAATTTATTAATAACTTCCAATATCTCTTCTTCTATTTGAGTTTCTGTAATTTCTTTATCCTCTTCTCTAATTTTACAATTTAGACATTTTAATATATATATATATGACTTTCCTTCAAATCTATTTCATTTCCCATATGTAACTTTTCAAAAAACCTCTGAAGGATTAGAAGTTTCTCTTTCATCTTATTACATCTTTCCTCTTTTTTGTTCTTTATTACACCAATTAAGCATTTTGCCTTTTTAACTTGTGTGGCTCTGGCCAGCATTTTAGAATTTTTATTACTACTTTCATAACATTCTCTTTTCAAATAAATTAGATTTCTTTGAACTTGTTCTATTTCAATATTTTGTAATTCTCTTCTTTTAACTGTTAATTCTAACATAATTTGGTTTTCTCTACTTTTTATATACTTGTTCTCTAATTCTTTAATTTCCTCTTCTAACCTTGTTATATGTTGCTCTTTTTGTTTTTTATATAATATGAATATTTTATTCCTAATCCTTTTACCACTGCTTTCATTGTATCCCATATTACAATTATATTTTTGTCTCCTTTTTCATTTATTTCTCAAATTTCTTTTAATTTTTCCTTTTTTTCTAAGATCTCATTTTTAAAAATCCTTTGATCTATTCTCCACCTGTTTACCTATTTATAATCACAAACTGTTTCTATTTCCATTGTTATCATTGCATGGTCTGATATTTTAATTACTTTTATATCTGCGTTTATTATCTTAGACAATATTTCTGGTGTTACAAATATATAATCTATTCTTGTAAAGTTTTTATGTCTGAGTAAAATGTATAACTTTTCTGTTTACCATTTAATTCTCTCCAAACATCTTTTAATCTGTTTTTATTAATAAATTTACTTAAATCTGTGTTGTTATATTTTATATCTGCCTTTGATGGGTTGGATTTACCTTTTTTTATCCATAACCATATTATGATCACCTGCCATTATCTCATAACCTCTTTTTATTCTATTTCTTTATACACCTTATCATAAAACTCCCTTTGATTTATATTAGGTGAGTATATATTAGCTAAAGTCACCTCTTGTCCATAAATCAAACTTTGTATTATAAGAAATCTCCCCAAATGATTTCTGTTTATAGCTTTTGTTTTAAATTCACATCTTTTGACAACAATTGCAAAACCTCTTGATTTTGACGTGCCATATGATTTCTCACATACAGTGGTACCTTGGCTAACAAATGCCTCAATTCACGACCAAATCGGGTCGTGAACAGAAATTTCACAAAAATTTTGCTTCATGTCGTGAACATCACGTGATGATCGTGGGTGTGCCTGTCTCCCCGCCAAGCATGATCGCGATCACGCCAGCCTATGTCCGCAATTGCGGTCACGCTTGGTGGGAGATGACCGCTATCGCGGGCGGGTGGGAGATGGCCACAACCGTGCCGGCGGGGCGGGGGAGATAGCCGCGATCTTTGTTGTTCTTTGTCACTTTATTTCAAATTTTTGTGATTTAAAAAAAATGGTTACAGAATGGATTAACCTTACTTACATTGAACCTTATGGGGAAATTTGACTTTGCTCATGACCAATTTGGGTCATGACCAGAGTCCTGCAATGGATTAAGTTCGTGAGCCAAGGTACCACTGTACATCTGCCCAGTATAATTCATTCACTCCATCTTTTTTTTTATGTTTCTTGTAAAAATATAATATCTGCTTTTTCCTTATAAATAGATTTTTCAATTCTAGCACGTTTATGTCTTTCTCCCAAGCTGTTTATATTCCAAGACACTATCTTCAGTGTTTTCCCCATTCTTTCAATACATTAAATATTCTTTTTGGTGTCGATATGTGATTAAATAAACACTCCAATAAAAACGTAACAAAAATCCAATTAAACATACTCCTACCCCCACCATATTCCCCACCACATTTATATATGAAAACCCTCTTACCCATCTTCTGGAGATGTTCTCCTGCCCGCCGCTTCGGGCTTCCAAGAGCGGGGAAAAGGAGCCTCCACTGTACAGATCCCAGACACCCACTCCACTCTTCCCGACCATCTACACCCATTTTATTCAATACTCAAACTTTTATTATAATTCAATACTTATTATTTAACAACCACAACACTACCAACTACAATATATTTTCTATATCTCATGTAAAATATCTTATCTCTTCTTGCTTCCTTCTTCTGTCTCTCTTCTTTCTGTTTCTATGGAGAATCTGAACCTCCTGCTGCAAAACCCAATTTCTCCTTCTGTGGCCAATCTTCTCTCTTCTTCTCTGTCATCCGTCTTGGAAATGTAATCATATCCATTAATTTCTGCATTTGCACTGCATATTCATCATCATTATCAATAATTCCAAGGTCCTTTAATAACTTCAGCACTTCCTCCTTTGTATCAGCTCTATAATATTTTCCATTATATGAAAACCTCAGAAAGATTCGAAACCCCCAGCTGTATTTAATGGAATTCTTTAATATTTGACAAACTTGGAACATATCTCTCCTTCATTGCAGAGTCTCTTGCATAAATCAGGAAACACTTGAATCTGGTAACCTTTGAACATGATTTTGCATATGACCAGAATCAGACTACAATGTTGCTCAGTGTTTTTCTTCCAGCTCTTCTTGGGCCCACTCTATGTTTTGCATCAATATCATACCTTGTGAAGGAGACATCTGGGAGAATAGATTTAGCCCAGTCCAGTATTGATTGAATTAGTTTATCTTCATTCTCATTCCCATCCTCTGGATATCCTTTAAGGCGTAAATTTGATCTTTGTTGTCTATCCCAGATCTCAATCATACTTTTTGAGACCTGATCTATCTTGGTCATCTGATTTCTTAACTTTTTATCTTGTTCTTCCATCTGAATTTTCACTTCTGTGATTGTTTGTTTATTCTCTAGAGTTTGTTTAATTAAATCTTTTATTTCTACACTCATATTGACATTTTGACATTTAATTGCTTGATATCAGTCCTCACTTCTCTGAATTCTTGTAAAAGTATATCAAGCTTGTCTGGTTGTGTTGATGATTGAGATGCTGGTATTGATTTTTCCGGTGATGATCTCTTTTTCCCATTCATTTCACAACTTTACTCTTTTCAAATGCAAATCCGATGGGTGAAACTTTGCCTTGGATCTTTGCCAAACACTTTCTACACTCTTGCTGCATTTTGACATCTAGCTACCAGAAAAAAATCTTAAAATCATAATAATATTTTTTTGGAATCCACTGTTATTTAATATCCAACTAGGAGGAGAGAAATCTTGAATTTAGTAATAACTTATATACAATTGTAATTTAGCTTTCAGTCAGCATATAGAGCTCTTGATTTTCAACAGCTGCAATTTAACTTCTAGCCAGCAGATGGAGCGCAAAAATTGCTATTAGCAAAATAGTCTTTTGTCCTTTTTCTCAGACCTTTATTGCAATGTGTCACTTCCTCTTCCTGTTATCTTCGTTGTTTCTTATATCTTATCTCCATAATAGCAAGATAGCACAGAGAAGCTAATCCTGTGACTAATTAACTTTGATATATGTTCCTCAAGGCTCTATCCCAATATTTTATTTTTCGGCACTTTCTCGGCTTTGCAATTGTGCAGGAGAAGAAAAGTCTCGCCTGCTGGTTATCTGGAAATTAGAGCTTTTTTGGCTTTATTCCAGTTCTTCAACAGCTTCAACAACTCCCTCTTTTCCTCCCATCCTTCAAACTGCTTTTAAACTTATAAAGAATACAGCCAAGGTGTTACCCTACTCTGGACTGAATCCAGCAGTTTCAGATTGTACAAGTAAGCCCTCTATGAGATTCAAATCTTCCCAAGAGAGAGAAAAAGGAATTAAGTCAGGTTTCATGCATTTTTCAGTATTTCTTTATCTTAATTTGAGTATATTTTAATCATATTTTCCCCAATGGTCAGGAGGAGTAGAGAAGTTTAGCGGCCAGAGACCATCTGAGGTAGCTCCACCCCCTAGTTTAAGATGTTCATCTCTGAGGCAAAAACATGAAAACAACAGTTGCAACAACAATAAAAATATGAACACCATTACAGCTTTTGAGGCATCTGTTTTCTTGTAGGAAAATTCATCCTTTTTTGACTGGAGGGGTAAATTACTTCAAGCAGTTGAATGCATATTAGAAAAGGAGCAAAACACATTACAAGGCTACTTGCAATCACATTTCCACAATTCTGGATCTGGAGATACAGGAGCATTAGTCAAAAAACTGGAATATATAGTGGAACAACAGGTATGGGAACGTTCATGTGCTTGTTCTGTTCTGTTCTCCTTATTAATCTTAGAGTTGTAACTAAGAAACTGTGAAAGAGGCTGGGACATTGACTGCAATTGTCAAAAGTCTGCAGCCATGTACTTTCTCCCCCTGCATTTGTCCCTCTCTGAGACCATATTGAGATTTCGAAGGGGAAGCATCTGGCTCAGGTCTTTCCACATCAGCTGTGAGGGGATGGGGCACAGAATCGGACTCCAAAAAACTCTATGGCTTCCCAAATAATCCTACATCACTCAGCCATAGAATTGTGCTCTAACAGACCTGCCTTTTGGATCCATGCTGAGCTTCTTTGATTGAATCTTTCACAAGAGGAGCAGAACTGTGCTGTTCTTTCCCATGCTTGAGAGAAATTACTCCCTATAATTACGAAGTATAAACCATAGTTTGTTTGATTTTTGAATTGTGGTTTGTTGTGGAAAAGACAAATAGACGTGTGAAATAAAAATATCTGCACTATATTATATTTTGAAATGGGCTTGATTTCATTTCAGGAACATCAGCAAACACTAGTACTGGAGCATCTTTTGTCTTCAGACAGGAACAGCCTGCTGGCTGAAATCCAGGACCTCAAAGCTCAACTGCGACTTACACATCTTCAAAACCAGGAGAAGCTACAGCAACTCCAGGAAACCCTTATTGATACAGAAAATCATGGAAGTAAACAAGAACATCAGCTTCGAAGGCAAGGTAATATCTTGTGGAAGTTTGCCAAGTACTCTTTATTTCTCATTCTTTCATTTGATTAAGATGGAAAGATACTCAAAGGCATGTGAGCATAATTCATTTTGTAATCAATTATATGAAATTATGAGCAAAAACAAAAAACTAATCATAGCCCTTAGAAACTATTAATCTGCTGTAAACTGTCCCAAGACTTTTAAGTATGGGACAGTATAGAAAAGTTTTGAATACATAAATTTCATAATGGTATGTTGATAAAGTGAGTGTGCCAGTTAAGTAAAACATGCCATTCTTTCTGGTATTTCATTGCCAAAGCAGTTTAAAATACAAATGCAACGAAGGCAGAATAATAGATGCCATTTATCTTGCATTCATGTATAACAGAACATAGTTTGTAGATGGAATTTACAGCAATTCTTTTAAATTTATAAGCAATGCTTGAAGCAGATAAATTAAAACACATGAATGAAGTAAAAACAACATGCAGTAAAGACAGTTATAAAGCCCCTGTATGGCAGTGGCTAAAAGTTCATACCAGTGATTTACAGCTAAAGTTTAAAAATTTTGCAGCAGACACAAGCATCAGCTTTAGTAAACATTCCGTTTCATAGGATGTGCGTGCAGTGGAATGGACTTTTTTTTGATTAACTCCTATTTTTGCGGTCTCCTGTGTAAATATTACCTTGGTATTCTGATGCAGGATAACTTAACAAATCACAAGATATCAAGACGGAGGACCTTCCTATCACTATGGCTGGCTTTTCTGTAGACTTCAACTCTTGGGCGGGGAAACCCAACTTGTTCAATTTTTGCTTCTTAAACTGTTCTTTAAAGAGGGGAGGCACAATCTGTTCTGCTCTGCTCTTCAATCTGAAGGACCTTGTAACTATCTGACTTATGCAAGCCTTGACAAAGTATTGCATATCACTGTTAAAAATGTTATCTGAGGACCCTTTTGTGAGAATATGATATGTGTGTGTGTTTGTGTATCAAATTGAAAACTTCATACCTGCTTTAACACTGCCAATAAAAATTAGCTCAAGATGAGATCTTGCTTGGAGATCCACAAGGTTTCTAAGGTTCCTTTATAACAATTCTTTATGGAAATTATGAATTCCATAAATGGAGGAGTTATTAGAATGCATAGCTTTGTCATGTGGACTTAAATATAAACCTTTATTATGATTTGAGTTAGATATGAGCATTTTAAGGTGAGAAATCAACATTTAAATTGGCACTAAATTCTGTCAATTTAAATGGCTTTCAAAATTAAATGTATGTTAGATGGATGTAATTCAATAGTAAGTGAAATTAAATGGGTTCCTCTTTTTATAGCCTGATTTGAACGAAGTATGGAGAAACATATGGTGAAGTAAACATGTCAACAGACATTTCCATTCAGTAATTTAATGGCAGCATGTGTTCAGATGTGTGTGTTTTTAAAATCCTCTTAGCGGATCACTAACTTTAAAAATTATTTTGTGCGAAATGATTACTTATTGCAGTTGTTACTTGTATATATTTAATTTTTAAAATTTGCTTAGTGGAATTATTGGAATATAAACTTCAGGAAGAGAAATTGATTGCAAGTAATCTGCAAGATTCTTTACAAAGTGAACAAGATAAGGCCTCTAAGATTCATGAACTACTGAAAGAAGAACACACTGCAATAGTGAACTTGAAATCAGAACTTTGTGAAAGCAAGCAAACAAATGAGAAACTAGAAAAAGCCTTAGAGGAACTCCAGAAAGAAGTAATTAAATACAGGTAAGGACTTGCAAGTGCAGCCTGCACAATAAAGTTGTTTTGGATAACCTGATAATGCCCTTTCAAAGCAAACATTTTATTGTGAACTTCTTCCCTTCTGCCAGTGTTACTGGGATCCCTTTGGAAGTAGTTGGCAACCTGGTGCCCTCCAGACTACAACTCCCATAATTCACAAGCATTGGCCATCCCTGTCCTATAGTGTAAAAGTTATATTCTGGAAAGTCTTTAGGTCAAAAATCTGTTGTTCTATTCAACACTCAAATTCCTTTCTGATTGCCTATAGCTTTCATGCAATTGCCTGCTTACTGCATCTAGTTTTGATTTTATTAATTCTTACAATACAATCTAATAGCCCTATCACTAATGGAACTGATTACTGATCCCCTTTCCACATACCTCTGCCATTTTAGCAGCTTAGCCCTTTCCTGGTTTCCATTTATTGGTCAAGAGTAAAAGTTATATTTTCAACTGTGGATAAACAGATTGAGAATTTACTGTTTAAATCAGTCAGCGAACTTGTGCTGAAGAGATGTATCAGGAAAAGCTCACCTTTTAACCTTTATAGGAGTTACATGCTATGTTCTGAAAAAGCGTATGTTTTGCTGATAAGTTGCTATAGTCATTAGAGCGTTAGACTAGAACTGAGAAGACCCAGGTTCTAGTTTCCATTCTACCATGTAGCTCACTAGGTAACTTGGGCCATTCTTTGACCCTCAACCTAAAATACCGCACAGGGTTGCTGTGCAGATAAAATAAGCAAAATAATGTTAGCCACTTTGAGCTCTGTAGAATATATATGTACATTCATTCATTAATGTATTGGGAGGAAAAGATGTTCCAGAGGCTGAATCCCTGTGGAATCCCATAAAGTAGTAGCCATATAACAGAGTAGTAATCTCCTAATTCCATCTTCTGGAAGTACCATTCCAGTTAGGAATAGAATTGTTGCAGGATAGTGCCCCCAATTCAAACAGTTGATCCAGGAGCATATCAAAAGCTACTAAGAGGCCCAAGAGAACTAAGAGCAGTGTAAATTACCTATTTCTGTTTCTGCAAAGCAGTTTACATTTCAAAACGACTGTTTCTGTTCCAATCAAAGCTGGATTGAAATGGATCATCCAAGGTCAGGAACATTTTCCCATGCACATTGCCTAAAAAGGGAATGTTACCAGGTGCCCCACAGATGTCTTGAGTCTAGATTAGGTTTCCTCAGGAGTGGAAACCTAAAGAGGTTGGAACCACTCATTCTCTCAAGGAGGAACTTCTTTTGTGTTGTAGATCTGCACTGGAAATGAAGGAGAAAGGTATTACTGCTGTTTTTCAAGACTTGCAGAATGAACAGCAAGAACTACAAACTATGTTGGATGAAAGGCAGCATCAACATAAGATAAGAGAAGATGAGAGCTCAAGAGCAATAGAGGTAAAATAATATATTAAAATATCAGCCCTGCTTCAAAGACAGCCCTGCTTCAAAATCGTATGTATGCTTTTCTGCTAAGACTCCAAATCCAGCTTACCTTCTTCAAAGAAGCCAGCCTCATCAGTGAACACATAGGTCATCAGAACACATAGGGGAGGGAAGGTGTTAATGGGTTTTTCCAAGACATCAACATATCAGGATTTTTGAAGAATTGTACCCAAAGTCATGAAATTGGGACATAATGGATAGGAAGGTCCCAGGACTGTGCAACAGCTTCTCCAGTAGTGCAGTCTTATGTGTTGACTTAGTGGCAACTCTACTCCTAGTTGACTATAGGTTTAGAAACATAGAAACAGAGCGAGTCAGAAAGGGTCTTTCAAGCCATCTAGTCTGACCCCTGGCTCTAGCCAGCTCTGCTCATGACATGCCTACCATGTGCATGTCTAGCCTGTCCTTGAACACCCTCATCGATGGGGCTTCAACCACCTCCCATGAAAGCCCATTCCATACCCTTAGGGTCCTAACTGTCAGGAAGTACTTCCTGGCATCCAAATTGAAGCCTCGTTCCTTGAGCTTGGCTCCGCTGGAGTGTGTCCTGCCCTCCTCTGCAGGTCTCAACCCACATCCATGTGACACCCGCTCATGTACCTTTATGTATGTTGCCAGCAGATCCCCTCTGAGTCTCTTCTTCCCCAGGCTGAGGAGACCCAGTTTCCTCAGTCTCACCTCATATGTCTTTACCTGCGATCCTGCCACCATCCTTGTGGCTCTACGCTGCACTGACTCTAACCTGGCTATATCCTTCCTGTAATGAGGGGCCCAGAACTGAACACAATACTCCAGTTGTGGGAGCACCAGACTCGTATAGAGTGGTAGTAAGACCTCCCTTGATCTAGAAGTCACACTTCTGCCTATGCAACCAACTCATTCCTGCTCATCTACCCCTTTTTCCTGTAACTGAGCAAAGCTTTGGGCATAGTCACATGGAAGACTGTCTCTTTTTCTTGGACAAGCAAGTAGACATGCAACAAGAGTGCCAAGTTGACCCCAAAAGAAGGCGTAATTGTGTATTTCCAGGAGCGTGTGTGTAGATTTAGTGCCACAGGACAGAGCAAAGAACAGCAGTTGCAGTAGCTCTTTTCCAAGAACTGCTCATCTCAACTTTCTTCCATGCATGCTTCTCACAGAATCCTGATGAAGTACAATGCACTTCTCTTACATAAGTTTTCATGTAAAAGAAAACCCTCCAGTTAAACTGAATGCAAGCATGTTACACTTCAAGTAAACAAGCCTTTTAAAACAAAGCAATGTTAATTTTACATATTGCATAAATTTCACAACTTTTCCAATAGCTCAAACTAGTTCAGCTAAAACATTTATTATGGAAAAAAAAACCCTTAAGCTTGCTTGCTAGTCAACAAGTTCAAAGCTTTTTTTTGGAAGCTACTTTTATTGGAATTCTTCTTTAGTTGCTAAGTTGTGCTCAATCCTTCATGACCCCATGGACCAGATTCCTCCAGGCTCGCCATCCCCCAGAGTCCACCCAAGCCCACACCCACTGCCCCAGTGACTCCATCTAGCCACCTCAACCTCTGCTGTCCCCTTTTCCTTTTGCCTTCAGTCATTCCCAGCATTAGGGTCTTCTCCAGTGAGTCCTTCCTTCTCATTAGGTGGCCAAAGTATTTGAGTTTCATCTTCAGTATCTGGCCTTCTAAAGAGCAGTCAGGGTTGATCTCCTTTAAGATTGACTGGTTTGATTTCTTTGCAGTCCAAGGGACTCAGGAGTCTTCTCCAGCACCACAATTCAAAGACATCAATTCTTCAGCACTCAGTTTCCCTTACGGTCCAACTCTCACAACCATACGTTACAACTGGGAAAACTGTAGCTTTGACTATACAAACTTTTGTCAGCAGGATGATGTCTCTGCTTTTTAGTATGCTGTCTAGATTTGCCATAGCTTTCCTCTCAAGGAGCAAGCATCTTTTAATTTCTTGGCTGCAGTCCCCATTTGTGGTGATCTTGGAGCCCAGGAAAATAAAATCTGTCACTACCTCCGTTTCTTCCCCATCTATTTGCCAGGAAGTGAGAGGACCGGATGCCATGATCTTAGTTTTCTTAATGTTGAGTTTCAAGCCAACTTTTGTGCTCTCCTCAAATATTCTATGACATGATAATTCAGTAGTCAATGGTGCACTATTCTTACATCATTTAAATTTAAATTTGTTACTGCCTTGAACATTATTTTTATTGGAAAGGTGAGTTATAAATTGAATATTTAAAAATAAATTATTTAGCAGATTCCTACTTTCATGCCTGATAGCCACTAGTGGATAGTAAGGCTCTGTTGTCTTAGCAGTGTCTCAAACCAAATAAGTTTAAACAAAGCACAAAAACAAAATAGCTGCACTGGTGCATGAGAAAAAATTCTAAAATTTAGTTGGGCAATACTTGTTCTACAAAAGTGTGCATGCTTTCAAGTTCCCCAAGACTCTGCATCAGGGTTTTGCTGTTTTGAGGTGCCATCAAGTTGTCTCTAACTTAGGGAGATCACATGAATGAAGGCCCTCCAGAATGTCCTATCCATGAGATCCCTGCTTGGCTGTTCTAAATGTATGCCTGTGGCTTCCATTATGGAGTCTATCCATCCCTTATTTAGTCTTCCACTGGGCTCGGTGGCACAAAAAGTGAAGGATGGAAGAAGAAATGCAAAGTTCAACAATCAGATCCAATGTGCCCATGAATTCTTTGACCACTTAGAGATGGACTGAATGGATTAGTAATAGGTGGATGTGAGCAACAGTGCTTTCTAGGTGAGTGCAACAATGGTTGTTCCTCATTTCAGACAACATGAAGGCCAGTTGCAATCCAGAGCTGACTATTGGCTAGGAGGAATTACACAGGTTCCTGAGCCAGCTTAGAGCGACATTACAGAGAAAGATGACAATCTTTACATTAGCAAAGCTGAAGATTAATTTTAGGTAGTGTATTGGATAAAGTCAATTGAAGTCAAATTATGAGTCTGGAGGGAATGGAACCTTCAGTGCAAAACAGTTGATTCGAGCCATATTCAGATGTTCTCCAAGCATGTTGTTCAAACACATGGGAGTGGGGGAGCATGTTAGCCTCACCCTCTCCATTTTCACTCTTGTTGCATTGTATGTGTCGAGGGCAACTGTGAAAAGGAACTTTGTGAAAAGGAACTATGTATCTGTGAGGGCTTTCCATGTGGTTTAGGGACACTGATTTGGCCAGGTTCCTAATTGTGTGGAGAGCTCCCATGGGTACAGGAGGCCTTCCTCTTCAGACAGTCACTCACCGTAACAATGGCTGTATTGACATGATGACAAGCCAGGGCAGGAATGGCTTGACGTTATGTGTGAATACTGGAAGCATGGTGAAACAGCACATTTAGTTACTGTGAATCACCACGGAGAACCAACAGTTTGTTCTAAGGTTTCCACATTTCAGCATTGTTTGTCGTTATGTATGAAGCTGGTTACAGTATTTTTCTATGGTTTTCCCATTTTGGAGAGCGAGTTCAGCAGCCAAGAGCAGCCATAGCTGCTCCAGCTGCCATTTTCTACTACCCTCTTCACCTAGCAAAGGCTGAGTTGCTGGCAGACAGGGTGCTGATTGGCTGCCTCAGCACTCCCTGTCTTCCCTCCTGGTATACACTCCCCAGTGACCATCCGCCATGCCACTACCATATCCACCACCTAGCCAATGATCCATCCCATGCTATCTTGATGTCGTGTACAGAGTTACATCTCCAGATCTGGTTAGGATCAAAAGAACAGGGAGCTCAAAGCTGAGGAGACGCCAAGGGTACCAGGGTTTTCAAGGACTAGAGAGTAATTTGGTTATCAGAGCTGTTGATTCAAGGGCACTGGAGATAACAGAGTGGTATGGCTTAGTGAATAGTCTATGACCAGCAATTGGGGCCACTGAAGTGGGCACGAAGAAACTGGGAGATGGGCCTTCACAGGTCAGCTGATGAGTCGGAGGAATTAATGACTAGAAGAATAGTAGTGGTCCTCCTTGCCTGCTACTCTGCTTGTTCTGCCACTCTGCTGCTACAAAGAGATCGGTGGCACCCTGCTCACCTTGTAGCTTGTAGTGTTAGCATAGGGAAGGACTATCTCTCGTTTTCTTGCTCATAGTGGTGTAACAAGACCCTGGGTCCTGGGGGCTTAAAAGCTGAGTGTTGGAGCCGTGCCTTGCACGCGGATACCCACAACCATCCTCCTCTGGGGCTTCTGCTCCCTCAGTAAAGAAGTCACTAGCTCCTCCACCAGCAAAGATGCCTGAGGTGGCGAAGCAGAAAAGAAGGCAGAATCATCAAAATCACTCACCCCTAGTAAAGAGAAGGGGAGGGCTAAGAACACCCAAACAACAGAGTCTTCACTTCCAAGTGGCCTCCCGTATTCTGGAGATGCAGTGCCGTCGCAAGACCAAAACAGACCGAGACAGTCGCAAGACTCTTCTCAACCTCCAAGAAGCACTTCAGTGTCAGAGGGGGAAAGTCGAGAATCATCCCCCGTTCAGCTCTCGAAAACAGGCCATCCCTCAGTGAAGAAACAGGGCTCTCCCTCCAAGCGTTTTTCTCCAACCTGAGCAACAAAGTGGTAGACATCGTTCTCTATCCCCTTTGGCTCAGGCTTCTCATAAACCCTCCGTGAAGGATATTAGGAGGGTGAGTACTCAGAGGAGGGCTTTCTCTGCGGTGGCGCCCAACCTATGGAATGTGCTCCCTAGAGAAGTCCGCCTGACGCCGTCGTTATTTGTTTTTCGGCACCAGCCCAAGACCTTTTTATTTAAATGCTATTTTAATTGTTAAGGTTTATTTGTTGATTTTAAACTGACCAGGCTGTTTCCCCTATTTTATGTATTTTATTTATTCTATGCGGGGGGGGGGGTGTTGGTATTTATATGCAGGATTTTAATGATTGTAAGCTGCCCCGAGGCTTATGCAAAGGGGGCGGCATATAAGCTGTCTAAATAACTAACTAACTAACTAACTAACTAACTAACTAACTAACTAACTAACTAACATTGATCTCCCTCAAAACACCAAGGGGATTTCGATACCGATTTCTATGTGAAATGATGGGGATCTATCGATTCCAGACAAGGATCGCACTGGAGCCCTTCAGGCTCGGAGCACAACCCCTTACTGGGTCCTAGTTTTCACATCCCATTGGAAGAGCCCGCTTGAGACCCTGCCCAGATAATATGATGCTCGGATCTGTCCTCCTTACCCAGCCAACATACAGATAGGACGGAACATCTCTCAGAACGGGGACAATACACTTCGATCTTGATGGTATCCTCCCCAGATCGTCATTCTGACATGCCACCAGGTATCGCTACAACTTCACTTGATCTCTCTCAGACACCAGGGGATGCTGGATTCTTTGCCTCCCAAGTCTTCTGTATGGCTCATAGTCTAGGACTGTAGTGGTGAACCTATGCCACGCATGCCGCAGTGGGCACACAGAGCCCTTTCTGTTGGCACATGAGCCCAGTTGCCCCAGCATCACGCCAGCAGCCGAACATTGGATAACAGCGCACATAGGGGCCATGCACATGCTCGGAAAGGAGTAGTGGTGCCAGGGGATGACATCACAAGCTGCAAATCATTAGCCGTGACTTGTCTGCGCTTTCGCATGACTGGTCTGTGCACTGCCAAGGATTTATATCTTGGACTGGCTGTGAGTTGTTTTTTCTAAACTAAAACCTCAGTATTCAGGTTTTATTGCAGTGTTGGCACTAAATAAGTGGGTTTTGGGTTGTAGTTTGGGCACTTGGTCTCTAAAAGGTTCGCCGTCACTGTTCTAGGACTTAACCCTAGGCAAGACCCTACTAAAGCGAAGGACCCGGTCTTCAAGGCTGTTGATGCAGAGTCTGTGGGCCCAGTTACTATGCCACTCTTGCCGACCCTGCTTGATACAATCTGCCATTAGTGGAAATCTTTGGCATTGGTAGCTCCTCCACCTCACCAGCTTGAAAATATGTATTGGGTCCAAGAAAAAGATGCCGAGTTTTTGTTTCAGCAGCCTCGGCCAAACTCTATTATTGTGGAGTCTGCCCAATCACACTCCAGGAGAGAACATGCCACTCCATCGGACAAAGAAGGCAGGTCCCTTGATGCTATTGGTCACCCCTTGTATTCCTCTGCCGCCCTCTCTGTAAAGATGGCTAACTACCAAGCTACCATGGCCAGGTACCACCTTCTGCTTTGGGACAGAATTACATCCCTATGTTCCTCATTCCCTAAAGGGGCGACTCAGGACCTAGCAAATGAAATTAAAAATTAGGCTACTCACCTGGCCAGGAGAACCTCACAGCTCAACACCAGGTGGAGGGTAGTCCACATAATATGGCAGGAGCAATAGGTCTTCGCTGCTTTGCATAGTTTTGATCTGCAGGTCTATCCGGTGAAGCTAAGGCAAGAATTGAGGCTATGAAGTTTGACAGTGCTGGCTTATTCTACAAGACCATGGATGACTGTATGGACTCGGTTCAGAAGGTTGGGAATACTGCACGCCACATGGGGCTCAATCAGACACCACCGCAAAGGCCATATGGCACAGATTCTTCTACACTTACCAGTTGAGGGTCCCTGCCACCACTACTGCAAGACATTGTGCTGCCACCCTACCTAGACACCAGCATCCCTAGAAGGATCTGGACAGACTATGGAAGTGGGCGGGGGACAGCAGGATGGTGTTTGATGTGTTCTTGCACTTGGGGCATAGGAATGGGTGTCATTAGTATAAGTCAGGGGACAAATGGTTGGAGAGCAGCACTTGTGAAAAGGTCCTCGGAGTACTGGTCGACTGCAGGCTAAATATGAGTCAGCCGTGTGAATGCCACCCTAGTATGCATAGTCAGAAGCATGGCTCCCAGATCGAGAGAGGAATTACTGCCACTCTGTACAACTCTGGTGCACCCGCAGCTGGAGTATTGCATTCACTGCTGGGCCCCTGAGTACAAGAGGGATATAGCCAGGTTGGAATCTGCAGCAAAGGTCGACAAGGATGGTGGCCAGATTGCAGGGAAAGCCATATGAGGCGAGACTGAGGGAACTGGGTCTTTTCACTCATGAGGAGACTCAGAGTGGACCTGTTAGCTACATACAGGTATGTGAGGGGGTGTCACGCAGAGGTGGGCCATGAGCTTTTTTCCACTGTGGTGGAGGTCAGGACACATTTCCATGGAGCAAAGCTCAGGGAACCAAGATTCAAGGTGGATGCCAGGAAGAACTTCCTGACAGGATCCCTAGGGCATGCAATGGGCTTCCACAGGAGGTGAAGGTGTTTAAGGATAGGCTGGACATATACCTGGTAGGCATGTCATGAGCGGAGCCGGCTGGATCTGGGGGTCAGACTAGAGGGTCCGGTTGGCCCCTTCTGACTCGCTCTGCTTCTATGTTTCTCTGTTTCTGGAATGAATTCTGAGTTCCCTTGAAGTATTCCCATGCAGCTTTCTTAATAAATTCACAGTCATTTGAGGTGTGATTATGGCAGTGTCTTCCTTTTCTTACAGGAGTTGCAAGCTGCCTTGGAACTACAGTGCATTCAAAACAACCAGTTGTCTGTGGCTTTAGAGCATCAACAGTCAGCAAACATTGATCTTCAAACCGAACAATCTCGTTGCGAGGCTTTACTATGTCAGTATCAAAATAAACTGTTGCAACTGCAGAAGAATATAGATGCTGAGAAGAACCACAGCTTAGAACTTTTAAGCGCTTTAAGTCATGATCATGATTTGACAGAACAGCTGAACATGAAAATGAATGAATGTGAGTCTTGTAAGCATAAAAATGTATTGCCGAATCTGCAAGCTCAGTTGTATATTGAGAGGTCCTATGCTAGAGAGCTTTTAGCTGCAATTGAGAGAACACAGCAACAAGAACTTAATTCTAAGAAACAAATGGATGGAATGCAAAGGTACTGTGAAGAAACTCAAAAAGAAGAAAACTATACCAGCTTACAGGTTTCACAGGCCACTCTGCAAAACTTAAAACAGGACATTATCCATGGTTTAAATATACACAAGAAGAAAGAGACACAAATGAAAGAGGAATGGGAGCAATTGCACCCAATTCTTAAGGCACTAAGAGATCAGGGGAACAGGACAAGACAAGGGATAAGAGGCAGAAAGTATGAACAGCAAGTAGACTGCGACAAACTTAAGGAACTGCAGAAATCTCAAGAAACTCAGGTAAGGGCATGTGTGGTTTTTTCCTTTCCTATTTTTATTGCATTTAGGGCTTAATAAATTTCATAGACCATGCTACATCTTTATACAGGCCAGATTTTTTATCCTGAAAATCCATTCTATGACACTACAAAAACACAGATACTTTTTTTTTTTTTTTTTTTGTGGGAGGGGGGCATACTTTAATTTTCAACATTAGATTATTCAGATTTCCTAAAGTTTTTGGAACAAGCACTGCACTCTACTCATCTTCAGTCATTTGTTCATTTCATTTATTAGGATCAAAGAAAGAAGAATCATTAATAAAATAAAAGCACAGTTAAAACAAATGCCATTCAGTATCTTCAATCAAGAAGGTAATTTTATTTTTTTCTAGCTAGCATTGCAGTCCTAAAAAATATGGGAACATTTCCATTGATATAAGAAGTTATGTCAACTGGGAAACCAGGCAAGGTCCAGGAAGCAAGTAGAACTGCAGCAAATCAGGAGCCCTTCATTGCCAAGGAAGCTTCTATAGGGAAATGCCAGTTCTTATACAGCTCTTCCCCCAGGGCTTCCGGGTGGTGCTCATGAGGTCCCTGGCAGCTGCAGAAGGTTGAGGGAGTGATCCTGCAACTACCAGGGCTGCTATTCTGGTGCTCAGCCAGCAGATAAAGCCCTGAAGTTGCCTCAGATCCTGACACCTTGCACTCAGCAGATCAAATAACTACTTTTAGGTAACAGCTGTATTCCACGCACAGGGAGGAAGGCTCACTAGCTTTGTAAGGAAAATAGATTGAACTCTTTCCATTTGGGAATGAAATCCCATGATTCAAATAGGAATGGCATAGATAAGTTGGGCATTATCTTTGTTAGTCTTTGTTTTATAAATTTGATGTCCACAGGATCTATGTTGGCCACTTTGGGTAACATAAAATTATCTGTCCATTGGATTTATATCCTGCTTTTTTCTTATAACAAACTCAAAGCAGTCTTATTCCCACAACAACCCCGTGAAATAGGTTGGGCTGACAGTCTGTGACTGGCCCAAAGTCACCTGCTTGGCTCCATGGCCAAACAAGGACTTGAACCCAAGTTGCCTGAGTTTCAGTCCTGCACTGTTTACAATTATACCACATTGGCTCTCAGAAAATTTCAGAATATTAAAATAAGCTGTTAACTGCAATTTGCTGATTCAATTGACTGTCTGTGTTGTTCAGACCAGAGTCCAGTGCTCTGCATTTGTATTCCTAGGTATTTTATATGGGAAGCTTGTTTAATGATATTTAAAATCTTTTTACATTGTGTTCTTACTTTAGAGAAGACTAGAACTTTAGGCTTACTTTAGTTAGGCTGTTCTTAAAAGAGTAGGCTTCAAATATGGACAATAGCCAGTGCAACCAAATTCTGGAAAGTGAGAGCAGTGCAGTATCAGCAGCACACCAAAAGCATCTTAGTGTTACACAACCTGGAAGCATGAGTATCAGTGTTGCAAAGATAGGAAGTCAGATCATATAGAAATACATGAAAAGGAAAGGGGTCAAGGGAGAGGCCTATCTAACTCCCCTTGTAGCAGGAATTGGGTTAGAGAAGTTACCCTGCAGCCTATATCTGCCTTGCCAGAAAGTGAAGTGTGGTTCTCTGCCAAGCAAGCTAACAGCAATGGTGTAATGTTGAACAACTTTCACAAAATCCATCCCTTGTGAGAGCATGGGTGACCCCAAGGACAGTCACCCCCTCTGTCTTTTCTGCCTGGGCAAGGGACATATCAAGGCCTGCCCACATTGCCAGGCCTTCACAAAGTGGGCCTGGAAACACAGGACAGACCAACTGAGGTCCAAGCTGTGGAGAAAGGCCCTGCAGGCCATCGACTCCACAAAGTAAATGGGGCACAATTGGTCACTTGTATGGGCTGAAGTTATATTGCCTTGGTCCTCATCAACCTTGGGGAGAGTTCCAGCCAAGCCTGCCTTACCAGTGTCCAGCCACTTGTTGGAAGATTGCATGGTCAGGAAAGGGCCAAGCTTGCCAAAAAGTTGGCCAACACCACCAAGGAAAAACACATGCACTATGAGAGTCCCCACCAGTCCTAGATACCAGGAGACCATTCAGACCAAATCTCAGAACAGCGAGAACCCTTGATACCAGAACAGATCTACGCGGAGCAAGATCAGTATCTGAAGGTAGATTTTGGGACATCCCTTCCAGGTCTCCAGCCCACCCATTCTCCAAGGCATTGGTATCAGGGTGATCCATTCATGCCTCACTGAGACCAAGACCATTGGATCCAGCTGTGCCTCACCAAGACTGACAATACCATCATCAAAGATTAAGGGGCTCCAGGACTACTCCTGTTCCCTTTTGACTAAATGGGACTGTGTCTCTGACTAGTCACCATCATCACACCAATCCTGAGGGGACTCTCATGCATTCCACAGGGATGACCAGTACCAAATACCAAGAAGATACCAGACCTCAAGACAGAGCCAGCCAGTACCAAGGCATCATTCCAGCCCTTGCACCTCCACTACAGTGCTCCTTTTGCCAATGAGGACCTGGTACCATGCTGACTGCAATCCCTAACACCACCACTTCCAAGGTTCTCAAAACTAAGCCCTTTCCATCATCTGACACTGAGGACTGCATCTCATATTTGGAATCAGCAGCACTGCTGGCCCCAACCACCCACTTACGTTGCCTCACAGGACCCCACATCTCCTTCAGAGCAGGTGGGCTGTTTTTCCAAACAAGTCCTTTGGGTGGCATTCTCCCTTGGGCTCAAGATGGAGCAGCTGCATGATAGAGTCATGGATTCAATCCTTGCCATCTTGCATGTGGAGGACTTGGCATTGATCATTCGTTTCCTGCCCGTGCTGCTGCAGACTATTTATTTATTTATTTAAAACCTTTCTATACCATCTCATACTTAAACGTCTCGGGACAATTGGGCAGATGTGGAAGGTCCCCTCAGCAGTGTACTTCACCTTCAGGAGACTCAAGACCATGCACTGAGCTGGAAAAGGATGTCCTATTTTTCTTCCAGCATCGCAGGCCCAACTCAGTCATCATCAAGTCCATGCAAGGTCAATCCCAGAGAGAGCACTTGACGCCAGTAAAGCAGGAGGCCAACCTCCTAGATGGGATGGCAAGGTAAGTCTATGCTGCCTCTGCATGCAGCCTCCAAGTCTTAAACTATGAGGCACCCATGGCCCAATACCAACTCTTTCTATGGGACAAAATCAGGGTCATGTGGAAACATCTCCCGGGTGATTACAGGGAACTAGCTGAGCTGTTCCAATCGGAGGCCACCAAACTGGCTCAGCAGCAGATCACTGCAGCAAGGCATATGTGGACTGTGACATCAAGGCAATGATAGGCACTGTGGCCATCAGGAGGCACACTTGGCTGCAGTTGAGTACCTGCCCTTCAATGGGGAGGACCTCTTCAACCTGCACATGGATGAGCACATGGCCAGGACAACAGCAAGGCGGATGGGACCCCTGCAGCCAACATCCATGCCACATAAGTTGTTTGCGGTCTCCATATCAAACACCCATCAGGTCCTAGTGAGCTGCCCAGAGCAGAAGGCCTAACACCATGGTCCACTTTAAACAAGCCTGCAAGCACCCAGAAGGGACAGACAGACAATGACTATCCACTCCTGGTGGGGGCCCCAAAGCCCCCTAGCAAATTTGATGAACATCTTTCTCTATTTCTCCCTACATGGCAAGTGATCACATCAGATTTTGGAGTTATCCATGGTGGAAAGGAACTACTGGATCGAGTTCAACATCCTCCTTTATTTATTTTATTTATTTAAAACATTTTTACCCCATCCTTTGCACAAGCCTCAGGACAGCCTCCTTCCACTTAGTACCATAAGAATCATGGCCCCACGATCATGAAGTGGGTACATATTTTCATATGTGGTGGGAATGTGAATATATAATGAAATTTAGAAACGAAATTTCTAAAGTGCATAGTAAAATAGTAAGCTTAAATATAGATATATGCTGTGGAATTGCCTTACTTTGTCATCTATTAATGATAAATTAACGTGAGCTTGAAGGGAGAAAAGGGCATATAAAGAAAAATCAAGTCCATGATGAAAAATCAATGATATTTCATCAATATATTTGTTGAGTGTGTTTTAAAAAGGGGAAAGGATTTGAGCCTTTGAAAGAATCATAACCATCTTAGAAGAGGAGAAAGTTGCTGAGGCAACAAGTAAATTGGGATCAATCAGAAATGATGTTATTTAATTGTAATGAAGTGGAAAAGGATGATGTTACAAGAAAGTGAGAAGTTAAGTAATATTAAACATTTAGAAGTAAAAATTACTAAAAAATGCAAAGTTTAAAAGAGAATAAAGTTGATAAGTTAAAATATGAAGTGATAGAGAAGATGAATGAATTTTAAAAGATTGGTTTACCATGGTTTGGTAGAATAGCAGCATTTAAAATGATAATATTACCTAGCATTATTTTTTTGCTTATCAGTTAAGTTAGCAGAGAAAGATTTGAAAGAATGGCAAAATATGATTAATAAATTTTGTAAAAGGGATAAAAAAACAAGGATTAATTTTTTTTAAAAAAAGATGGTATGTGCTCAAGAAAACAGTGGGTTTAGGTATTCCCAATGTGAAATTTTATGACATAGCTAGTCAAATAAGCATACACCAGATATTATACTACAGCCAGATAAGATAATATGGGGTAAATTAGAATATCAAGATGTAGAGCAGGGGTGTCCAAACTTTTTGCAAGGAGGGCCAGATTTGGTGAGGTGAAAATGTGTGGGGGCCGACCATTCAGCCTGACATTCTTTGAACCATTAACATTAAATGCAAATGAACTATTTTATGAAAGACTAAATAAATAACTGCACCAATGTGAAGGGTGATAGAGCTCTCTACTGCATTATATAGGCCAGGTCTGGCTCAAAAACAGTGGTTTTGATGCGCAAGATGTCACGCAGGTAAAAGTCACTTAGTCTCGTGCACACGGTTCTTGGAAATGTTTATA